TCTTGGATGGCCTTCTGGACTTATGCCTCAGAATCCTCAAAAGCAAACACTTATAGGCACACGTCAACCTTGTCAAACTCTTCTATAACTGTTACAGTCCTAGTGTTAGATGAATGCCGCCCACCCGCCAAATACAAAGTATGAGATTTAAGTTGACCTGCCCCTCGACATGCTGTTGTCCTTTCCCAGGTGAACAGGAGCTAAGACAGCAAGGAAAGAAATTGCTGTTTTTACTATACTGGGTTTAAACATGAGCAGATACTAAATGCCTTTTCTGAAGTAGTAAAAGAAAAAAAAATAGTATCATTTATTGTAAAGGCTACTCTGATGGTGTTGTCAAAGTGATAGCATCTAAAAACATCTGGAAGGATGGGCCTCTGGAGATGGGAGGTTATTGATTGATGCAAAAGCACATACCTACATGGCCTGGCTGGAATCCTGAACCATATAAGTAGAGAAAGGAAGCTGAGTAACAACATGCATTTATGCTCTGCTTCCAGCTGCTTCAAGCTCCCTGATACCTCGACTTCTCCATCACGATAAACTCTTCCATCTTGAACTGTGAGCAAAGATAAGCCTTCTCCCTTAAGTTGCTTTTGTCTGAGTACTTAATCACAGCAACAGATTAAAAAAAAAAAACAATTAGGACATCTGATGCTACTAAACTGCTATTGCCTCTCTGTAAATCAGATACATCTGTACAGCTCTATGTCCATGTTTTCTATTTTCTTGCATCAATATTTCTCTTCTGGCAGTAACACTCTTGATTATGACACTGTTGTAGTCAGGGTTAGTCCTGTGATGAAACGCCATGACCAAGGCAACTTGGGGAGGAAACTATTTATTTGGCTTATACTTTTATATCACTATTCATCACTGAAGGGAACCAGGACAGGATCTCAAAACAAGGCAGGAACCTGGATGCAAGAGCTGTTGCAGAGGCCATGGAGCAGCTTGCTCTCTTGGCCTGCCCAGCCTGCTCTTATAGATTCTAGATCACTAGCCCAGAAATGGCATTACTCAAAAGGGACTGGGTCCTCCGACATCATTCAATAGGAAAATACCCTATAGGTTTGTCTGCACCCTGATCTTGTGAAGGAATTTTTCTTAATTGAGGTTCCTATCTCTCAAATGACTCTAGCCTGTGTAAGCTGACATAAAACTAACCTGCATAGTATCAAACCCAGGTCTCCTACAAGGCAAGAACTATCAATTAAATCATCTCCCAAAGGTCTCATGTAGTCTAATGCCAGTCCTAAACTCCCGATCTTCCAGCATCAGCCTCTGACATGCTAGGATTACAGGTGTGTGCCACCATAGCTGGCTAAAAATTTCACCTTACAGAATATACACAATTGGGCACTTATACCTAAGTTCTTTTTGTTTTGTAACAATCACAAAAATATTGTACTTTTGTGTTGGTGTGCAGAAAATATTGTTGTTTGTTAATCTGGTAATATTGCAACCTTATTGAACTAATTCATTATAAGTCTTATTGCCTTGAAGCTTTATGAGTAGGCAACTGTGTCACCTGTAAGTAGCTACTTAATTTATAATCTGCTTGATGCATGGCAGAGAGAAGCAGAGAAAGAAATGAGCGTATTTTCTTGCTTATAGTTTATAGTACTGTTGCCAGCAGAGGGGAATGTTTATTTTTCTCTGAGAGACCACACACTAAGTAGGTACTATGGCTTCAGTGTCTCTTAAAGACCCATGATTAAAGGCTTGTTCTGTGGAATGATGAAAGTGGTGAGGGTTGGAAACTTCTGGAGGTCTTTAGATAGTGGCTCAAACGGGTCTGTGGAAACCAAGCTTTCTTCTGCTCATGTAGTGTTTTATGCTTATGTTCTCATGGAAGTCTCTCAGGACAAAGCATGTTTTATATGCATATGCTCAGTCAATATATACACTTGTATATAAACTTTTAGTTCAGTACCTACCTCAGAAACCTAAATACAGGTGTCAAACACTGTTTTACTTATTAAGATTTATATGTCAGAGCCAAGTGATACATCACAGTGTATGGAACTTATTTGGATCTGGGTTCAGACACAGCTTTAAAAGAGTAATATATACATTTGTAAGCCAGGGAGGGTAGAGGAACATACAGGAACCTGGAGCTTATTGGCTAGCTGAGACAGTGAGCTTTAGGTTTAGTGAAAGAATCATCTCAAAATTTAAGGTGAAGGGGAGAAACTACTCTTCGAGAGGACGCAGGTTCAACTTCCTCCACTTGGCAGCTCACAGTCGCCTGTAACTCCAGTTACAGATCTAATACCCTCTTTTGGTCTTAGATTAAGACGGGCAAACATGTGGTGCATACATACATGTAGGCAAACCACCACAATTTTCTTTTAAAAAACAAAAAGAAGCAAAAAAGGTACAAAGCAATAAAGAAAAACACCTGATGTTGACTTCTCCACACATACATATATAGGCAAACATACTCCCATCCCAGACACACACAAGTTGAAAAAGATCTCAACTTTTGTTAATTAGATTTTGTTTGTTTGTTTTTCTGAGACAGGGGTTCACTGTGTAACAGCGTTGGCCATCCTGGAACTACTCAGTAGACCAGGCTGCCTCAGTAGTCAGAGATCCACCTATTTCTGCCTCCTGAATGCTGGGATTAAAGATATGTGCCACCATCACCCGGCTAGGAATATTTTTAATGACACTCATGATCTTACATTTATTGGTAGAATGACATAATTATGACACAGCTTATGACTTAACATTTACAGGTAGAATGACAATATTCAATTTATTTTAAAAATATTTTATTACATAACATATATAAGTGAGTGCATACATACATGAAGGTGCACATGCGTGACATGTTAGTGTGCATGGGGAGGTCAGAAGACAACTTGTGGCAGTCAATTCTCTTACCATGAGGGTCCCAGGGATCAAATTCAGGTCTTCTGTCTTAGTGGCAAACAATTTACTGATGGGCCATTTCAATGGCCCAGTATTTACTTTTAGGTGGAAATGATACAAATTTGTGTGTATGAATAACTGGAGTTTAGTTGTAAATGGTTGGTTAATTAGTGCATGGGAATGAGAGTATGTTAGTTGTAAATCAGCATAAATATCTTACTGTTTGATAGTTTCTGTAATCAAGTAATATCAAACTCTAGTCTTGAACTTGCCACATATCTGAGAATGACCTTGACTTTTTGATTCTCCTGCCTGCCTTTCTTAAGTGATGGGTTTAAGAGTATTAGCTAACACACTAGGTTTATGAGGTCCTTGGGATTTGAACCCAGGGCTTTGTGCATGCTAGGCAAGCACTCTAACAACTGAGCTACACCCTCAGCCCCCATTACTTTTTTTTTTCTCCCCCCAAGACAGGGTTTCTTTGTAGCTTTGGTACCTGTTCTGGAACTAGCTCAGTTGACCAGGCTGGCCTCAAACTCACAGAGATCCACCTGTTACTCCATAACATTTTTAAAACACTGATTACAAAGGAGCCGTTCTGGAAAAGCAAGTTTCCACAGAATTTTATAACAGAAAAAGTAGTACAGTTCGAGGATTTTATTGCAAGATGGCTAGCTCAGTTGGTAAAGGTACTTGCTGCCAACCCTGAGGACATGAATTCCATTCCTAGGACCCAAATATAAGCCATGGTAGGTACATATGTGTGCGTATATGCACACACACTCACATACATACATGTATTTAATAAAAAGACCAAATTGAATGTAATCTACTTTTGCTTTGGTGTCTAGATGATGAAATGACAGAAACTTTAAAAAAGTGAATGCCAATCTAATGCAAATCTTCATCAATAAACTGTTATGAACATGTACTCCAAATCCACAGCAAGATTAAAGAACATATTTCAAGATTTTCTGAAAATATCAAGGATAAACAGAAGATTATATGCATACAGATGTGAGTGGTTTTTTTAAACCTTACAAAAAATCTTCTGCATCTAGAATCCCAGATGGGAAATTATTTGTGACACATAATAGTCATTATTGCCAGGTGAAGGTGGCAACGCCTTTAATCCCAGGATTTGGAAGGCAGAGGCAGAGGAATCTCTGTGAATCTGAGGCCAGCCTGGTCTACAAGAGCTCGTTCCAGAACAGGTCCCAAAGTTACAGAGAAACCCTGTCTCGAAAAGCCCCCCAAAATACAACAAGAAGCAAACAAAAAAGTCGTTATTGGTCATTAGAATTAAATAGCCCCTCCTCACCACTTTCATGCTTTAGCAGTTCCTTTTACTCTAAAGTGAGATTGTCTGAGCTGCTGCTTCTTCCACTCATCGTTTTCCTTATTGTTAGTTATACAGGAGAGCTGAGGAATCAGACATCAAACTAACTTCAAGTCAGCAGGTATGTCTGAAGTATGGACTAATTAGGCAGGAAGGGGTCTAGCACCTATTTAGAAAACACTCAGTTTTTAGTGCCTTTCCAACTTCTTACACATTACTCAGATGGTTTAATAATTATATCTGAAAGTTCATTAAAAGTTAAAATTGCTCTGTATATCTAAACTAGTACTTCCAGGATTTGGCAGGTGCTTTTTACAAACAGGAAAAAAAAAAATCCTTCAATTACATTTAAAAATTAAGCCAGGTGGCACACACCTTTAATCCCAGCACCTGGCAGGTAAAAGTAGGCAGATCTCTGTGAGTTCGAGGCCAGTTTAATCCACAAAGTGAGTTCCAGGACAGTCAGAGATACATAGAGAAACCCTGTCTTACAAACTTTTTTTTTTTTTTTAAAGAGAGAGAGAGAGAGAGAGAGAGAGAAAAGAAAAAGAAAAAAAAAAGCAGTACTTTACTCAAACTTACCTTGGCCAAACATAAAAAACTGAACATATAAGAATCTGGCCTGTATACATGGAAGGCGGAGACAAAGTACCACATCATGCTATTACTTCCATAACACATAAAGAACTGCCAAATATCCTAAATCACAGGTTGTAGAAAAGAGCCTTGTCTATAACTAGAGGCAAGCAAGACTTTACAAATCAACACAAACACAAAAGTGTTGAAATATACAGTAGCAACATTTATTTTAACACTTCTAAAAGGTATCTTTCCATGCCTGATGATTTGATATAAAAATCAAACCCATCATACTTTTCCCATCAGTTTCTCTACATCAAGGGCGATCAGAAATTTGTACAACATGAATATGTTTCTGAAACAGAAATTACAAATTAAATGATAACAAAAATACACAAATCAACTGGACCCTAAATGAATTTCTAATGAGTTTTCTTCTTTTTCCCATCACCTAGAGCTTCTTTCTTCAGTCTCATTCTGCTCCTTTTCCTTTCTTTGCTTGGCCATGAACTTCTGTTAAAAGCAATTTTCAATATGAAACATTTGTTAGATGTTGTTTGCTATGTGTGCAATCCTAAATGAATCTATATTAATAATCTAAAGCAGTGTCTTAATTAACATTCATTCCTTTCACTAATCATCCTTCTGATGGTCAATGATATGTCAGACAGAGTTTACGGCTTGGGGATTTAGTAGTAGACAAGACTAAAAAGGTATTTCCCCAAGTGCTAACACTGTAATAAAGGAACCGAAGAGAAGAACAATTGAAATCACTGTAGGTGGTAATAATCACTCTAAAATTATAACAATAATAAAGGTGTGTGGTCATGTGTCTGTTCTTGGATTTGATCCTTAAGCACCACAAAATTAAAACTGTAACTGTGGAACTAGGAAGGTTCATCTTTTTGTACATATAGGATGGAGTTCGCTTTATTTTTGGTTTTGTGAGAAAGTTTCTCTCTATGCAGTCCTGGCTGTCCTGAATCACCATATAAACCAGGCTGTCTTCTAACTCACACAGATCTGCTGACCTCTGCCTCTCAAGTGCTGAAACTGAAGGCGTGTGCTACCCAACTGGCTTTGGAGTTTGCTTTCTTAAGCAAAGGCCTTTCTTAGCAGTTAATACTTAAGTAGAGACCAAAAGATAGGAAAAACTGGCCACATGAAAGGTTTGGGAGGGGCACAGAAATAGTAATTAAGGCAACGGCACAATGGCAGCTGAGGTCTCAGGTACAAAGTTGCAAACAGTAATGAGAAATTTCAAAGACACAGAAAAGAAGCAGGCCATGCAGCCTTACAGGGCCAGAGTCAGTATGGCTATTATTTCAGGTGCCATATGAAATAGTTGCAAGATTTTAACTTTTTTCCTAAGACAAGGTCTCACTATATGGCACCATCTAGCTTGGAACTCTGTAGGTAGACCATCCTCAAATTCAAGAGATCTGCCTGCCTCTGCCTCCAGACTGATGGGATTAAAGATGTATGCTACCACATCTGGACTCAGTTGCAAGATTTTAAATGGGGGGTAAAAAGTAGGATATAACAAGTTAAAAGCACACAGAGAAGGTAAAATATGCGAGGCATTAGACATAGAATTAAACAAGCTGGCTAGAAACCCAAGGTCTGCCACTAACTAGCTTGGATTTTTAGAAGTTCAATACAAAGAATACATGAAACAACATAAGATATCCAGGAGTCAGAATTACTGATTCCCATGGCTAACAGTAACTCTCTGGAGCAGTATCTCCTTAAACATACACACGAAAAAGGAAGGCCTGTGACTCAATCAGTTTAAGAAACACATTTTCTTCTGACTACAAATTTAGAAATCTTAATATGTTAACATGCACAGCTATTTACAATGGAACATCAGGATAAGCAGAGTCTTATATTTTAAAGGAGGCCCACAAGATATTACTGTTTATAAATCTATTCTAGAGAATGCTATTGCTCCAGGAAAAGAAGTGGGGTTACATACTATGACGTGGAAAACCAGGGATTTTGGACTTAAGAGCAATGAACTGGAATAAATACCTAAGTTCTCACAAAGAAAAAGGAACACACACATTGGGAAGACTCTTTAAATCAAAAGACAGTGGCATTTTTATGTGTTACCTCTGTATTTTGCTTATGACGTTTGCTCTTGCAGTGATTTGCCATTGCTTTTTCATCTGAGTAGAAGAGGGAGCAAATTGGGCAGAAAAACCCAGCCTTTGGAACAAGGAAGTCCAAATCTAGAAAACAAGAAGAAAGAGAATAATCCACCAACAGTATGTCAATCACTTTATCTAAATTCAAAGATTGAACCTAGGGCCTCAAACATGTTAGTCAAGTACTCTACCACTTGGTTATAATCTCCCAGCAGAATATATATCTTTACTTAAGAATATGTAATATGTATTCCAAAGCCTCCAGAGAAGCCAGAATGCTACTGTCCTGCAGGCTGAAGAATCTGAGAACAGAAAACAAACATCTTAGAAATACCCTATTAAAGTAGAAGATGGGAAAACAGAATGATGAGCTGCTGAACAACTAAAAGATTCTTGACTCAGCTCAGTGGTCACAGTGAAAGTTTGCTATGGAAGCTTTTTAGCTTGTTTTGCCTAATTGGAATTTCTGCTTGGGGAAGTATAAATCAGTTTTTATCATGGCAGCAATTAAAGGTACATGAAAGAAAAAGGAAGCATACATATCCCAGCCTTCAAGAATGAAATAAAAATATTCATGCCAGATTTAAAAAAAAAAAACCCTAGATAAGCTGTATTCAAAATACCAAGCAAGGTTAACTTGTTCACTTTTTATTTCAGAGGAACAAGAAAGAAGAGAATCATTTTACTTTACCTCCCGGCACATCAGCTGTCACTGATTTGCCTACAGGAGAGTCTTCGGTCTTCATGCGCTTTTCATCAGGCTCTGAATCGTTTAATTCAGCTTCTTCAACTAAAGTCATTAAAAAGTTCAAGGAAAAACATGAAGCTATTTAAGATAAATTTGTAGACTTTGTGACGGTAATGTTGGGTACTTTCTGATTACTAAAACTAACTTAAAACTCATGGAACTACACCTTAGTTAATAATGATCCTGGTCTAAGAAGTAAATGGGTAAATGTTTAGATATATTCAATGGATTTAGAAGAAATAGGGCTAAAGCCATTATATTTATAGCCAACAACAGGGAGGATATTGGATACAATGACAAGTATATATTGTATGACAATGTTCATGTTCCTTATTTGTATCAACTTAAGTATTACTAATGCTGTTCAGACATTCTGTTTAATTTACTGGCTGGCTGCCTGGAAGCAAACAAAAAACAGTTAATAGAATACTGTTCTCTGATGCTGTAACATAGTCACAAATGCCTCTTGAGAGTAATTTCCACAAATATCTCTTGTTCTAGTGTCACTGTTCCCAAACCTCTCTAAATTATGAAGAAAGAAGGATCTTATACACCTGTCTTCTGCCTTTCCAGTTTCTTGGCTGGTTATCTGTGAAACTTCTACCATCATCTCATGTTGTGTGGTTTTCTTCCCCACCCAAACTGCCCCTTTACCTCCTTCATTCATTTGGAAGGCTTCTTTGCCTTTTGCTGGTTCTGCCATTACAGCTTTTTGTGAGGGTGATGCTTTCCCAATTCTAACTCTCTTCATTGGTGTTTTAGCTTTAAAAAGAAAGCCTAATTTATTGCTCCAATAACAGTACTTAAATTGCTTTAAATTTAACATATTAAACTATCTAATAATTCTAATATTTGTTCTAAAAACTACCTAAAATTGGGGAGAATGTCTTTTTGTTATATTTCTAAGACAGGAACCTGCTTATGTAGTTGAAGCTGAGTGTTGGATTATAGGTATGTGCCAGCACACCCGGTCAAGAAACCTATTCCTAAATAGAAATCTACTTTATTGCCGGGTGGTGGTGGCACATGACTTTAATCCCAGCACTCACTTTAATCTCAGCTCTCAGCAGAGGCAGGCGGATCTCTGTGAGTTCGAGGCCAGCATGGTCTACAAGAGCTAGTTCCAGGACAGGAACCAAAAAGCTACAGAGAAACTCTGTCTTGAAAATTAAAAAAAAAAAAAAAAAAAGAAATTTACTTTATTTTATTTTACTTTATGTGCATTGGTGTTTTGCCTGAATTATGTCTGTGTGAGGGTGTTGGATCCCCTGGAATTGGAGTTACAGACAGTTGTGAGTTGTCACGTGGGTGTTAGGAATTGAACCCAGGTCCTCTGAAAAAGTAACCAGTGCTCCTAACTGCCAAGAATCTCTCCAGCCCCTTAGAATTTTAAACAGCAGTTCATTCAAAATGTTTCCATTTATGTTCTGAACAATTATTCCTTCCTATTCTTTTCGCAGAGTGGCTATACATTTTTCCCTGAATTGTTATCAATCCAGTGAGATGTTCCTAGTATTCCATTATTAGTCTGGTTAAAATTTTCAAGGTTTTTCTTTTTTCGTTATTGTTTTGCCTCCCTCCACTCCCCACCCAAGACAAGGGTTCTCTGTATAACGGCCTTGGCTGTCCTGAAACTTGCTTTATAGACCAGGCTGGCCTTGAACCCAGAGAGACCCACCTGCCTCTGCTGAAAGCTGAGATTAAAGGCATGCAGCACACAAGACCTAGCTTTCTTTCTTTTTTAAAAACTTTGCAGAGTAGATATTCATTAATACATTGAATAATTTCATTTGTAACATCTAAGGAAACAAAATAAACTACTATTTGAATTCACCCATAAAGGTGACTTAAATAACAGTGTGTCAACTGGGTTCATAGTTTTCTTAATGGAAACTATTTTTGTCTCTCTCATGTCCTGCAAGCAAGTAAGCTGCTCTATTATTCCAAACAACCAAAATATTACACTATGCCAGATGTGACTCTCACCTGTAATCTTGGCACCTGGGAGGCAAGAATATCGCATGTTCAAGGCAACATTTTGAGTTCCAGGCCAAAAAGGGCTAGTCAGACCTCATCTCAAAAGACCAACATCTGCCAGCTGCGGTTGTTCACACCGTTAATTCCAGAACACAGGAAGCAGACATAAGCTGATCTCTACGAGCTCAAAACTGCCTGCTCTATATAAGAAATTCCAGGCCACAAAGTGAGACCCTAACTTAAAAGAATATATATAAATAAATAAAGTTGAACAGTACCTCGATAATTTGTTCTCCTGCTTGTTTTATTCTAAACCCAAGTTTAAGCCAGAAGTAGGAGGCAGTGTAATGTGCACACTGTTCTGCTCTTTAAAAGCTTGTTTCCCCACTCATACACACTGTTTTCACTGTGACTCTGCATTGGCTGCTTCGGTTTGTTTCCTAGTTTTGCCATCCTTTCTTGAGGTATAACAACTTGGGACAACCTGTACTCTACAAACTAAGAGAAATGTGTGCAACCTGTACTTGTTTCTATGGAAAATTTGAGTGATTATAACTGCTGGCTTACGGAAGGAACATTAGCACGATGATATTACTCCTACTGCGGCACTGTGTTCAAACCAGTTTTAAATGTAATTTCATGAAACAGAAAAATGAACACTTGAAGTATCTACCTGCCGTAGGTCTTTCAATCATGGTTTTCAGATCTTTTGTAACAGTATCACTTCCTGGACCTACTTGGGAGAAAGAGTCAAGTTTTGTCTTCTTTGGGTCCACGGCTTTCCTCTTTCTATTTCCTTTTTTATCTGGATGGTGGTCAATTTTGCCTTGTGCTAACTCAACTTTTGAATCATTGTCTCCATCCTCTTCATCTCCAACTTCATCCACAGTAACAAAATTAAGTTCTTCTTTAAGATTTTTAAAATCAGCCAGAGAATCTTCATCCTCTTCAGTTACTTCATCCAAAGTCACTAAATGAAAATCACTTCTGTCATCTTGTATTTCATCTACAGTAACTAAAGTAGAAGGGTCTTCAGGCACCTGGGAAGAAATGAACCCAATAGAGTCCCTTACAGTAGTTCCTTCATCTCTTTTTGAATTCAAAGTAGCAAAAGTTATGTCTGCTGATTCTTCTACTTCTCCAATTTCATCCACAGTTACCAAGCGTTCCTGCTGAAGATCTTGTTCTTCGGCCATGGACAGAACAGTAACATCTTTAGATTCACTGTGGGAAATGCAATCATCTTGGTCAATTAGTTCATCTAAGGTAAGAAGGGAGTTAGAATTTTTTACCATTTCTTCCATATTGAGCTCTTCTTCATCAATGACTTCATCCACAGTGACTAAAGCTTGTGCAGCTGCATCTTCTTCTTCCCCAATTTCATCTAGCGTTACAAAGGACAGTTCTCCCTCAACACTGTGAGGGACTGAGGTTTCCCCCTTTTTCTTTTTTAAGTTAAGTTCGGGGGAAGGAGAAATTTTGAGAGCTTCTTTTCTTTTTCCCTTTAATGGATTCTGCTTGGCTTGAGAAGGAGTTACTTCTTCTATGACTTCATCCACAGTAACGAATTCATCCAAATTAAATGTAAATAATGGTTCCTGTTGGAAAGTTAAGAATCAGTACAATGAACTTTGACTGACTAGGCATTACTAATCACAGTAGACTAATATGCAAATCATCCATGAGAATTTCTCTGTAAAGCCATTTCCTAAGACTAAAAAAAATTCAATGTTATATTTCAAAGGGTTCCAAAGTGATAAGACTAGTAAGACAGCTCAGTCAGTAAAGGTGCCTGCCACCAAGCCCAACAACCTCAGTTTGATACCAAGAACTAATGGTATAAGGAGAAAAGTGACTCATGCAAATTGTCCTCTAATCTCCATGTAAGAGCACATACATGTGAGAATATGCATATATAGCACACAAATAATTTAAAAAATAATTTACACTTTAAAACAACATTTAAAGCACTTGTCAAAACACTGATATACAAAGAATCTACTATTCCATACGTTAAGTATCAAACAAGTGTTTACTTACTAGACTTCTAAAAGCACCTCAAACAAAAAGGTAAATAATTAGCCATATCAATCAGCTTATATATAATATGTATTTTAACTTATAGAATGCTATGAAAGTTTGAAAGCTTTATATTGATAAAATTATCTGAAAAGATTACTAAAACTTAATAGCTAATATAGCTGTTTTTGAAAAAAATCATTTTAAATCTGGTACCAGAGTAAATAAATTTCCAGTAAGTTTCTGGATTTTGTATGCTGTCAATGACCCACTACTTGTACACACAGCAAGAAAACTATTTAGTCTACCTCAGTGACAACACCAGAATACAACAAGAAGCACTTCACTCCTTATCCTATGCCCTGTGTGCTTCACTCTCAACTTCCATGTTAACTATGAAAAGATAAGTGCAAGTATGTAAGATAGGTGGGCATTGCTATGGAAGGACTGATACAGAGTATGTGGGTATTTTCCTTTTACCTCTTTCGATTTGGAACTTCTACCAGTAGTACTTTTAGAATTCTTAGTGCTCTGCAAAGCCAATGCCTAAAATATTAAGAAATACAGAAAAACAGAGTTTATACCCAGATTATTAATGTTCTTTAAAAAAGAGAAAAGATAATCAGCAAATATCCAAATATGGTCAATTATGCAAATACTTAGCAAGTATATAAAACTAAGTCAATAATTATTTAATGGTATAGGCACAGTCAGTCTCCAAAAGTTAGAGCTAAATTCAGTTTCCGAAGTCTTTGCCCACAATGTCTAAGTAGGTGCTCAGTGAACTGATAAAGCTTCAATTTTAGAGGAATGAGAATGCCAAATCATCATCCTAGGAGCCACTACAGATCTTTCCTTTAAATCAATTATATTTCTGACCAAATTTTAGTTCAGCTACATTTGTGACCAAGTAAGACTTTCTTTCCAAGCATGTGAATAAATGGGAACTTTGAGCTCAACACTCCAAATGTCTACCAGCTTAAATCAATGGAATTGTTTCAGAAAGGGAAACAGGACTTGGGACTAGAGGGAAGAGATGAAACTATGAGCCAAACTACACTTCCTACTTCACAGCTATAGCAGCAGAATTACGAACTCCAAAGACACACGAGTCATTCTTCTACTCTCCTCACCTTATAGTTGCTGTCATCCCGTTTCATGGAGGGAGGTTTGGTCTCTGTTTCCTGAGACTGTTTTGCTATGTCCTTGTAATCCAGTTTAGAATCCTTGCACTGAAGGGCTGCGATCCTTCCTCTGCTAACACCACTCTGAGTGGGTTTGGATTTACTGTTGCTTTCTGTCAAGTCTGATCTGGTATTTTTAAGCAAACCAAATTCCTTGGCTGAAACTTTCTTTTCAGCAATTATTTGATCTCTAAGCACAGGTTTTGGAAAATTTTTCTGACTTTCAGTTTTTGAAGTTGTATTTTTTGCTTTAGTGGAAGACACCACAGCAGCCTTGATGCTTGTTTTACTATTACATACATTTGATACAGTCGGCACACTAGTTTTACCAGTTTCATCAGGATTACTGCTCTCACCCACTCCTTTATTTGGGTCTGCCTTGATTACAGCACTTTCTACTGGCTTTTCTCTTATTGCTGCTATAATCTTCTCCAATTTTTCTACAAACGTGTCAGCTTCATTCTTCTCAGTTTTCTCTGTTTCTACTTGTAAATCCATTCTGGTTTCCTTAGTATTGAATTCATTTTCCTGCTTGTCATCCATGCTAATTTTTTCAGAAGTATCCTTTTTGCTCAGAACCTTCTCATCCTCAATGTAACTTCCTGGTTCTTGGGTCACAACACAAGCAGATGGCAGTACTTCTGAAACAGTTTCATGTTTGTCCACTTCAGCAATGGCTTCTACTGTGGGTTGTGCAATACCAGAAAATGATTTATCTGCTTCAGATGGAGAATCTTCTAGAATTCCCTTGATGTTCTTTTCTTCTAAGACACTGTCAGATATTGATAATTCTGTTTCGGGGTTTGTAACTTCTGTCTCTTCCTTCACAAAGTCACTGGTGTATATCTGCTGATTTAAGGCAGATTCCTCCATATTTTCGCTGAATAACTCAGTTTTAGCTGGAGTGGATGCTACAAGAGGAATTTCTATGCTGACCTCTGCTCCTTGAGCTTCCAGGTCCAGTGTTTCAATTACAAAGTCAGACTCATACAAGGCTTGTTTGGGTTCTTCCTTACCAAGTTCTTCCTGCTGCACTGAAGTTTCTGTTTCAATATTGCAAGTAGTTTCTTCTTCAATCTCACTAGGTTTAACAGAGGGACTATCGGCTGCTGTTTGTACCTCACTTTCATCAACAGGACTGTTTTTCAAGTCAGGGCTAAAAGTACTTAAAAACAAACAAAAAGAACACAAAAACAAACAAAAATCAAACTATGATGAGAATTCAACCATTGTAAATAATCCTGTTGATGCCAACTGTAAAGGTTTTCTGATGCACAAATACTAAGCACTGGGAAATCCAGCCAATCAACATTAAACTGGCTAAGACGTTCTGATGGAAATCAGAAGGTGAAAGATCTAAGAGATCATCCATCTTTTTAATTCAAAAGAAGTAATAACAAAATTAGGAGTGTTGATATCTTCCTTTTACTTGTGCAAATTAAGTGTTTGGACTTGAAAAGGCTGAACAAAAAGATCTCAAATTATTATTAGGCTCTATAATCATGACATAGCAACTAAACAAAATGTGCACAGTTCTACAATAAAGCTAGTGATCCTTTCATGGAAATTTAAAAATGTACAGATGAATTTTCATAAAAAGAAAATTGGGATTGCTATGGAGAATAATGCCATTTAACAATTTTGCTTCCTTTTTGGGTATAAAAGACCTATTTTTAATTTTCCAAAAAAATGTGCTTATGAATGATAATACTTCAAGGAAACTTTTCTTTAGAAGGACCTCCATAGCTTTTGGAGATTTACAATCATAAGCAAAACTGTTAGAACCACCTTAACATGAACATACAATCTAAATACCCATAAACTGCTCACTCATTTATTAGATAATATTTTGATTATTCAGAAGAAATGGAGAAAATGAATGGACATTAATTATTTTATGTCATGGTCTTCCCAAACCCACAAAGTCTATAATTTTATAATTCAATAACGTTCACAGAAGCAGAACCAAAATAAACTATTTTAAATTAACATTGCACATCAAAAGTTGTCTTGAAAGAAAAGAGTTTTTCTAAAGACTATGTCTAACACAGTCTAAAAATACATTCCCATAATTTTGTTACTAGCAGCGGACTAGAGAAAGACACTAGAAAGTGATCATATCACATTAACACATTGTAACAATATTAACTCGTTTTCTTATTTCCAATAAAGGAAAGGATAAGCTGTCATCTCTGACATGCTTCTCAGAGGATGGCCACATATGCTTTAGTTCACAATACCAGATAATGTCTAGCTCTGTCCTGAGATTTTTATTTCAAAGATTTGGAAAAGGTGCTAACTGCGCCCCACTGGGGTCTAGTCATTTCATTAAATAAATAAACTGGTTCTCCCAGAAGAATAACTGTAAGTTATGAGAAATTTATAAACACCAAAGAATCATAGATCCTAATAATAATACATTCTAATTTCTGTGTAAAATACGCAGTATATTGAAATACTTCTATTTGAAATTAACATCTCTAATACTGAAGATTCTAAAGGCTCATATTAGGTGTCCCAAATTCTTGGAACTAAAGTAGAATCTGTGGTCAGAAACAATAGGACAAAGAAATAACCATGACATTCATAGTTACATGGATATTTCTCAAAATACAAACTTTTGAAATTATAAGATTCATATGAATAATAAAGAATAAACTCGAACTCCTGCTTCATTACGGAGTTATATATTAATCCTAAAAATTGATATATTGAACTACACAGCAACATTTATGAGGCTGAACAAACACAAAGATTTTTTTAATCTCATCTGAAAGATGTTACAAGACTTTCTCATTACCACATTTAAAATTTATAAACACTTATTATCATTCAGCCAAAGAGTAACTATTGCAGCTCTACATTTGAAACAGAACAAAGGCCTGTTTGTAAAGATGGTTCAATTTCATACTTTTGTACAATTATTTTATAAATTTATTGTTAATTTGTGTGTATGTATGTGCACACACCCGTGCCTTGAGTTTATGTGCATTATGGTAGTGCAAGAGGACCTTGACGGCCAGAGGACAAACAGCACTGGGCTCCTGGAGCAGGAACCCACAGGCAGTTGTGAGCCTCCATGTGGGTGTTGATAATCAAACCTGGGTTCTTTTCTGCAAGAACAGCAAGTACTCAACTGTTGAGCCATCTTTCCAGCCTCACTGTGTACCAGTCTTTAAGAATTATAGTATTTTTTCTATAGAAATTGTTTTAACAATAACTATCTGTTTATTGGCTAGAATGAAGGAAAGTTTCAAAGTTGATTTAGTTTGGAATGCCGCTGAGAGGTCAAATAAATGACACTAATACCATAAATAAAACGGCAATTTTTGTTTTTCTTTTTAAGAGATTAAAAGAAAACAGTTACATTCTGAGAAACAACACACAAACAATTCCAGAAAGTACACAGGTATCTAATATTCTACTCCCAATCAGACCAATTGAGAATTTCACAAAAGGCATACAATAGAAGTTAGGCATGAGCATAAAGGATGACACCATAACACACATACATCTCAAGACATTTTAGGATGAGATTTAACAATACCAAAAATTAATATTTATTTGAGAATTCCACCAGGTATTTATCAATATTAATGAATAAGGGAAAGTTCATCTAGCATCCTTATTTAAAGACTTAATCAAATTGCACATAGGTAGGATATGCATGAGGAGAATGAAGGACAATGTAAGTTATTACTAAACTATAATGTGAAATCTCCTCTAAGCAATCTACAATTAGAATTTACATTAATTAGAAACAAAAGAATCACACTTCAAGATGAACTGGCAAAAACATTTTTAAAAAAACTCAACAAAATTTTTAGTTTTTTATTGTTGTTGTTTTTAAAGCAAAACAAACATGACCACCATTTTTTTTTTGGTGTAAGTTTACTCCAAAAGTAATGTTGTATACTCTGATTATATCCCACATAATTTTATTCTTATTTTTTCTCTGTAATACAAGTCAGAAAAAAATGAGAGCAAAATTGGAAGTTTTCTAAAAAATCAATTTAACAAGACTAGAAACTATCTGTTAACATGTCAATATTTTAAGTCTTGAAAAGAAGAAAGACAAAATAGACAACAAGCATTGTTTTTGATAAAATCTTATAAAATAGAATACACAAAAACGAATTTTGTGGAAAATCTATTTCTTGTGACCAATAGAGAAAACTGTAGGTCTGTCCATAGGACTTACATGTGACATTGTTATTTATTAAGCTCTCTGTGGACTTGCAAGTGAATACTATTGGTTTAAAAATAAACTTTTAAATTTTTGGTTGTGGGCCTAGCCTTTAACAGCTGAGCCATTAGGTAGGCGGTGGCAGTGCACACCTTTAATCCTAGCCCTGGGAGGCAGGTCTCTGAGTTCAACACCAGCCTGGTCTACAGAGCTAGTTCCAGGATTGGCTCCATAGCTACTGAGAAACACTGTCTCAAAAAACAAACAAACAAACAAACCAACAAACAAAAGAAAGAAAGATGAACTTTTTTTAAAAGTATGGACTGACATACACAGCAACCCAGAAATATTGCTTATGATTACCAATGTATTTTAATATGCTCATGATCATTAACAATCAAGGATAGTCTGATTTTACAAAATGCTAGTTAATAAGAAAATCCATAATAGTTTGTGAATCAAATAAATACCTTTTTATTTAAACATTTTCAAATTGCTATTTCAAACGTAGATGACCTTAAAACATAGACTAATAAATAATAGTAATTGATAGTAAACACCATGGCTAAAACAAATCTGTGAGTCAGTAGTTTGAAGAGACTCTAAAAATTAAGTTTTCATAGTAGACACAAAGTGGTACTTTTTTTTTCTTGGACAAATGTTCCCATTCCATACTTTAAATGTTCTAAAACTGTACCAACTCTTTAAAAATTACATTGAAAATTATACTTTTAAGTTAATGAAAATTTAAGAGTACGTAAACTGCATTTTACTATTGTGGTACACAACACACTAGCAAAGAGCACGTCACATTTATCATGGATTAAACTGCTCCAGGGTGTTTACCAAGCATAAAGAAGTGACAATTCTGTATGTAATTCAAACTTATACATGCTCTTTCTCTAAATAGTCAATAAATACATGAATGAGATTAAATATAGCTACCAACCAAAACAAACCCTAAGGCCAAACAGAACCCAAAAGTAAGATGACAACAACTTTACACATAAACAAAAGGAACAAGTATGATGGTGGTAGGCTTCCTGAGCCTCCTTATTTCCCAGGGAAAAGTGAGGGCAATCTGCCCTTTCTGCAGACCACAACCTAGGATACCCATTCCCAGCCCAGACAATCAGAATAGGGAGTCGATTCAAAGCAGGAGGAACTCAGTTTGTTACTGTGTCAGCTTATATATGTTAAGTGACATCCTGTGATGTGGGGGTACCTCTAACAAATGAGAGGCACCCAAATCCTCCCTCTGATTGGAGGGGCGTCTACCTAGTTTTGTTGTCTGATCCTCGCTCAAACTTGAGCCAGGCTTTTCTCTGTCCTACAGGCCTCGAGGTACAGGCCCTGAGATAATTTGGCCCAATATCTCCCCGTTTTACTTTATATTCCACCCTCTACCCAGGTCACCAAGCCAGAATAGCCCACCAAGGAGAGAGTATGCCTCAGGGACACCCCTATCTGGAGTTTCAGCCTGGACACCCTCAAACTGAGAGTTCATCCTTAGGATGAGATGTATAGAGCCTACCATAATGTACTTGAAGGGCCATGTACCTGTTGTATCTGTTTTTGGAATGTTTGCTTCAGCTTTTAGAAAACAAACCAGGTCTCATAGGGCGTCTTGACTCATCTAGGATTCTTGTGACTATCCCCAAATTGTCAGCATAGAAGCAACATTCTTCCCCAAGTGCTCTGCAAATTCCTCCCTGTTCCATAAACAGCAAGCCTTTCCTATTTTGTAAGGTTACCCTTGCTAAGGAATAAAGACTTTTGTAAATAACATAATGCAGTCTCTGTCTTTTCTAATTTTGTCCAGCCAGTCTGCTCACATAACCAGGAAGAACAATAGTAATCATGAGCTGCCCCCGCATAGTTGAGGCAGTCCGGTTGCTTCCTGGGCATACATAAAAAGGTATCTGCTGGAGGGCATGTCTCCTAAGGACATGAGAACACCCAGGCTCATTAGGGGTAAGATGCCTAGGGTAGAGTGTATCCCTGAAAGCCTCTGCATTTAGGTCTCCCTTTGATCCTCTGAATCCAGACTCCCACAACCCAGCTCCCATGCGCTAAATCACCTAAGTCAAACATCAGGTCAGATCACCATGTTCAGGGTTTTGTCATCTAAGAAGTCTGGTTTAGGATCCCTCCCGTGCCAGCACTCGACAAGACCCACGACACCTTCGGTGGTTGGTGGGGGCTTGCTGCTTGGACCTTGGTCTCCACTCTCCTCAAGGGTTAATCTCCCCTTGGGCAGTGGTTATTTTTCTTTCCTTGTGTTTGAATTTAAGGGCTGTTCACCATAATCTCTTTCTTTCTTTATTGGTCATCTTGGTCTTCCCCGTTGTCCTGAGGCAGGAATTTTAAGTTATAAGCGGGCAGCCATATAGGCTTTTCCCGTTTGGGAAGAAACATTCATATCCTCAGCCCTGTGTCAAAAAGGGATCTGGGCCCCTTCATTGGGTAGTGAGAGGATCCTTCCACCTAACCTTTAGGCAGGGCCTCGTTGGTAGGGATCTCCAGTGTTTCTGGAATCTATTTTGTTCACCTGATTTTTGAAAATTTAAAATATTGATGGTTAATAAAGCCTTCTGCAGTTGTAGATGGGGGGAGACTTCTCCCCCTTTTTGATTTATAGGCATAGGGTAAGTGTGGCAGTAGGTTCACCACGTAAGAGCTGTCTGAATAGAGTTTGCAGGGTTCTGGGACCTCTTGTAGGGCAAATGCCCAATTATTAGATCATCCATATAAACATATAAGAGAGTATTATCTTTGTCAAAATAAGGAGAGAGGATACTATACAGATATTGTTGGCAAAAGGCCAGACTACTGGCCATTCCCTGTGGAAGAATAGTCCATTCATATCTCTCACCAGGTTGAGAGGAGTTAACTGTAGGAATGGAAAAGGCGAACTTTTCACAATCCTCCTCATGAAAAGGAATTGAAAAGAAGCAGTCCTTTAGATCAATTACAGTGAGGTAAAACTGGGAGGGGATTGTTGGGACCCAAGGTAAGCCCCTCAAAGGGGCCCCTACTAGCTCCATTTGGGAATTAATTGTTCGCAGGTCCTGTAGCATTCTCCATGTCCCATTAGGTTTACATATCACAAACACAGGACTGTTCCAGGGGCTCATCAAGGGCCTTATCCATCCTTCTCTAAGCAGATTTTTCTGGTGATTTCCTTAAGCATCTTAAGTTGAGGTAAGGGCCACTGCTCTACCCATACCAGCTTACCAGGTATTCACCTAATGGGGGAGGGGTGGGGGACCCTGGCCTCTACTTTTGGGGGTGAATACAGGTGTCAGGGGTCTGCCTGATGGCACCTTGCTCAGTTTTATCATAAAAGGCTAGGTGGTCAGTGGTAATAACAATATCCATCTGCCTAACAAATCTTGTCCCAGAAGGTCCACAGATAACTCTGGAAAGATCAGAGGCCTAAATTTTCCTTTGTCTTTGTCTGGCCCCACCCAAGTCATGGAACTGGCCATTTCTTGGGACATAGACCTCTCCCAACCCCCATGATAGGTGGCCCGGTTATGAGATCCCAGCTGGTAGGAACCTTTTCCTTTCTGAGGTACCGTCCTGTCAGTTCCTGTGTCTTTCAAGCATTGAAATCTTTGTCCCCCAATGATCATAGTCATACTGGGTTGGAACCCCTCTACCATTGGAATAGCCCAGTTAACTGAAGGTGCATCTTTCCTTCCTTAGGTTAAGGGGGCTGGAAGCCCCCCCCCCATCCAGTTTAAAGGTTGATTTGCGATGGGTTTCCCATTTATACCAAATTTGGAGCAGCATTCTGAGCCCCAATGGTACCCCTTATGGCAGCTAGGGCAGAGAGACAGAGGGGGGTTGCTTCCACAGCTAGGTCTTATTGCCCTTTTGTAGGCAATCCCTCTTAGAATGCCCCAGTTGACCACATAAGAAATATTTCCTAGGTGTTTGCCTTGAGTAATAGAAGAGGCTAGAGTTTGGGTCTGGTTGGTATGTGACTGGGTCCCAACATTCTGCAATGCCACAACCCATTGACTCATGGACCCTTCCCTAATGCAAGCACAACCCATCCTAGTATCTTGGTTCATACCTTCCCAGACTAGGAGCATAATAAATTGGTCTCTAAGCCCATCAGGGGGCAATTTCCTCTCAATAAAGTCTAGAAGCAGCTCTGCCAGTTTTTGCATCATGCCAGCAATAGGTGATCTGTGGGTTCCTCCTCTAGTGATGCCCAAGCCTCCAGGCCTGCTTGTCTAACTTGGTCCCAATACAGAACCACAATTCCGGCTTATTGGACCCCAGAGGAAAAGCCTTCCCCCGTTCCAGTTACCACCGAATAAGTGATGGGAATTGGGGGGTCGGCCGCTTATTGAACTCTGCCCTTTGTGACAGGCCTCCTTAAAGAAGGTTGTCCATTTAACTTATCGGGGTCCTCCCACCACAAGGTGGCCTTAGCTAGATCATACCAGTCCTTGGGGACAAAAAGGATGGTAGGTTACCTCCTGAAGAAGGGTTATGGCCCAAGGGGAGTTGGGGCCATAATCGGCCACTGCCTTCCTCAATTCTTTCAGGTCATTAGATTCCCAAGGACACCAGACTAGGGGGCGATTGGGGGGGGGGGGGGAGGGACATTGGCCAGGAAGCCTTGGGGTCTGTAAACCTTAGCCTTATAGGCCTGGGCATAAGTATCACCAGGAGGCTCCGTCCCACGTTCCTGCAAGAGACTGGTATATTCATTTCCTCCTGGCAAGGATGGAGCCCCTTATTTGTCCTGTTCCCCTCTCCCATTTTATCCTTTCCAAGGCAGGTGGGGGCATAAGGAGGCAGCTACTCTTTGTCACAGGCAATATCTACTTTCTTTTATTTTTGTCTTTGCCTCTGCCTGCTGTGTTCCTTCCTCCTGCAATGGCTCGTCAGTAAATTGTGCCCATTTTTGATCTTTACTCTTCTGTCCTTTTCTCCCGTTCTTTTGATTAATTGGTTACTTTTGGATTCTTCAGACCTCTCCCGATCTTCAACCTTTTCCTGCTCCTCCTCGCCAGTCTCCTCCCTGAAGTTGCGTTATCCATCGTGGGGTCCCACTCACCTTGAAGACTGCTTTGCCCTGGGACCAGTTGCCCCATGTTGGGTGCCAGTTGCTAGGCTTCCTGAGCCTCCTTATTCCCCAGGGAAAGGTGAGCATGCTATCCGCCCAGTCTGCAGCCCCATGAAGCAGGACAATCAGAAGCAATAGGGAGTCGATTCAAAGCAGGAGGAACTCAGTTTGTTACTGTGTCAGCTTATATATGTTAAGTGACATCCTGTGATGTGAGGGTACCTCTAACAAATGAGAGGCACCCAAATCCTCCCTCTGATTGGAGGGGCGTCTACCTAGTTTTTGCTGTCTCGTCCTCACTCGAGCCAGGCTCTTCTCTGTCCTACAGGCCTCCAAGAATAGGCCCTGAACTTGAACCAGGCTTTTTTCTGTCCTACAGGCCTTGAGGTACAGGCCCTGAGATAATTTTGGCCCAATAGGATGGGAACTTTCTGTATATGAGAAAAGTTACTTCAAGAATCAGATATGCCTAAACAATACACAAAAACGGAAGAAAAGAACTAAAAGCAACATACCTTTCTTTCCCCAGTTCTGGGTCACTCTCCGTTTGAGCCTACAATATAATTCACATTTCATTAGAGGTTATTCTAGTGAATTTTCACTATTGAATCCACTAAATATTTTCAGGTAAATATGGTTAACAAAAGTAAAAACAAAATGGGGGGCTACCTCTTAAAGAAAATGAGTTAGTTTTAGTTTCCTGTATCCACATAACTATTACGTTCCAGAAAAAAAAAAATCTCATTAAAAACTACTGCTAGGTTACAAAGAATATCAAGTAATGAGATATTTATAAAAACAAGGAAGTTTGTGAATTTTAAAAGCCTAAAAACAACATGTTTTGCTTAGAATAAAACCAATAAACATGACATACACATCTTCCTTGTAGATTAGTTTTTAAAGACTTGTATTTATAAGGAAAACTTTTTATAAACCATCTCATTAAGTTGTGTATGGTATAGTAGGTCTATAATCCCAGCTGCTTGGAGGCTAGAGCAGGTGGATCCTGTGGATTCAGGAATTTAAGACTAGCCTGGGCAACTTCAGAGAAAACAATTCAAATATCCCCTACTTAAACATGCAGAAGTGGGTATGAGCAGATGGCTAAATTGATACATGCTCATTCATTGCACAAGTACAGAGATTGAGTTCAGACTCCCAGCATCCATTTTTAAAAAATTGGGAGCAGAAGTATACTCATAATCTCAGTGCTGGGGATAGACAGAAGGATTTTGGGGTCTTGCTGGGTAGCCAGTCTAACTCAATCAGTGATTTCTAGCTCAGTGAGAAAACCTGTGTAAAAAAGAAGGTATAGAAATGATTACATCTACCTCTGGCCTTTACACTGACACAGATACAGACACACATACACACTAGAAATGCTATAGCAATAATCCTTTTAAATATTATCTGAACACTACCAAAAAGCAATGTTATGGAACATCAAAATAAAAGACTCAAAGGGTTATTTCAAAAATTAAAGCTAATATATATATATATATATATATATATATATATATATATATATATGGAACAAGGTTGCAGGGAAAGTAGTAGTCAATCTGGAATATATGAAGAAGAGGAACTAAAAGTAAATGTGATCAAAACACATTTTAAGAATTTCTCAAAGAATTAAAAACATTAGAACAAAAATGATAGCTTTCAGATTAAAAAAAAATCACTGAATGATTTGCAAACTAGGATCACTGATGCCTCTTAGAAATTCTTCCTTTTAAAATTTTGCATGTTTGTGTATGCATGCGAGTGGAGGTACAGGAACAAAGTAAGAGAACAACCTACATGGGACGTGTCCCAAGAAGTGAATTCAGGTGGTCAGGCTTGGGGGTAAAGTGCCTCTAGCAAGCTAGGTTGCTGGTCCAGAAATTCTTCAATGACTGAATATATGCCTAAAGTCTTTGCTTGCCATTATGTGTAGAATATCTTCATATATTCATATAGCTTGCTTTCCTATTTCCTTCAAGTCTTCCAAATGGCTCATCTGCTGGAGGTTTTAACTTACCATTTTAATATACACAATTCCCCATTCATGTGTGTCTTTTTGAAGAGCTGGGTGGGCTGAGGCACGGTTTTGTGTGGCTTAGGATAACCTTGAACTCAGGATACTCTTTAAGTGTTGGAATTGTTGCAAGCATCACTGTATCTGACTTTGTAATTCCTTTTATCTTCATTTATCTATTTTCATAGCACTTTTACCATTTGATATTTTATTGCTTGATGTCTCTCTCTCTCTCTCTCTCTCTCTCTCTCTCTCTCTCACACACACACACACACACACACACACACACACACACACGTATCTTTCCACAGTTAGTTCAAGAATTTGGAAAAATCAGCAAAAAAGCATGAATACTAAATATAAGGTCCAATTGTTTACCCCTGCTACTGAAATACAATGGAACTATTAGAAAAACACAAATTTGAATTTGATTTCTTTTAAAGATATATTTATTGTTTTTCTACATACATTCTACTACACAACTATGTAAAGCAAGGATATGTAAAATTTGTTTTCTTATATAATACACTAAAATAAAAAAATGAAAAAAACAAAAACGTTTCCACTCCATGAAGCAACAATGGATCAAAAACAGCACCTTGTTTCCTAGAGATAATCACAGTAGACATACCAAGTAAGTCTCCCACCCCTACTCCCCCCCCCCCCCCACGTGTATACCAGGCTGGCCTCAAAAACTAAAGAGATACACCTGCCTTTGTCTCTTAAGTGCTGGGATTAAAGGCATGTGGCTTCATTGCCTGGTTTATACCAAGTCTCTTTACACATTGGTATCTGAATAAAGTCACATATTTCAAAATTACCAATTTGTCTCATGTACCCTGTTTTTCATAATCTCAAAGCTGTAAGAAAGTCAAACAATTTTTAAAATAATAAATATAAAGAAATATCTAAATTCAGAAGTCTGACTACTATCTGAGCCTATTCTTGAAACTGTATTTATAACGTATCTTCTGAGTTTTTAGAAAATGTCCTTTATGCTTTCCAAGTTTTCTTGATTTACTTATTTACTCATGAACATTTACTCATGTATATAACTTACATTTACTCATGAACACGAGTGCTTTGGCTGAGTGTATGTGTTTGTACCATGTATGTGCCTAGTGCCCATGTAGGTCAAAAACGGCCACTAGATCCCTGGAACAAATGGTTGTGAGCCACCACATGGGTACTAGAACCAAAACTAGGTCCTCTGCAAGAAGAGTCAATACTCTTAACTGCTAAACCATCTCTCTTGCTTCATCCTCTTGATCTTCTAAAATAACACAAGTACATTACACAAACACACAAACAAAAAACTACTTACTTCTGAGTCCATCTTTGGAGATAAAGTACAGGTCAACACATAGTCTCCTATGCTTTGTGGATACTGTTTCAGAAAATTGTACATTGACAGAGCAGATTCGGGACTTTCTAACTGAAGAATCACCTTTAAAAATATTTTTTGAAAGCATGAATTTAAAATTTACACATAGAATTAGGATGCTATCTAGCAATTCTACTTTTCACTGTATACCCAGAACTGAAACCGGGGACCCAAACATCTATTTACTCACTTACATTCCAAGAATTATTAGGCACAATCGCTAAAAAGAGACATTCAGATATGTTACATGTATGAACCTAGAACATATGCCAAGTGAAATAAGCCGATTGCAAAACAGAAAATAAAATTCAACTTCTATAGGGAATCTAGTGTTATTTATAGAAACAGACATAAGGTGGCAGTTGAAAGGGCTGGGTAGGTGGGTGCTTAGAAGCTATTGTTTAATGAACAAGAAGTATCAGTTTGAGAAGCCAGGAAAAAAATTTACAGATTTAGATGGTGGTGATTATTGCACAATGCATGATGGAGGAGGATCATGTGTCTATGTGTTACTTTCATTGATTAATAGAGACTGCCTTGGCCCTTTGATAGGACAGAAAATTAGGTAGGCGGATTAGACAGAACAGAATGCTGGGAAAAAGCAGATTCAGGCAGACGCCATGCCTCTCCTCTCTGAGAGGGAAGCAGGTTAAGATCCCGATCCCCCCCCCCCCCCCCCCCGTAAGCCACCACCTTGTGGTGCTACACAGATTACTAAATATGGGTTAAAGCAAGATGTGAGAATTAGCCAATAAGAGGCTGAAACTAATGGGCCAAGGAGTGTTTAAATGAATACAGTTTCTGTGATATTATTTTGGGTAAAGCTAGTTGTGCAGGAGATGGGCAGCGGGAAGCGGCCTGCAGCTCCTTCTACAAATGTAGATAAGCTTAATGGTACTGAACTAACACCTAAAGTTAAAATGGTAAATGTATAATTTAAGAATACGTTACAAAGGCTAGGCAAGGGGCTGGAGAGATGGGTCAGCGGTTAAGAGCACTGACTGTTCTTCCAGAGGACGCAGGTTCAATTCCCAGCACCCACATGGCAGTTCACATAACTCCAGTTCCAGGGAATCTGATACCCTCACACCAATGTAGATAAAATAAATTTAAATAAATTATTAAAAAAAAAGGCTAGGCAAGAAAAAAAATGGGTTATTTAAAAACTCTTTTCTTCTTTAAAACAGACAACTAATGTGAAAGGGGCTGGAGAGATGGCTCATAACTTACTCATAACTCGAGCTCCAGGAAATCCAACACCCTTTTCTACCCTCCTCTGGTGTACACACACACACTCATGGCAGCACACAAAATCCACATGCCATGGTCATAGAAAATGCTCTTTGCACTATATTACGTTGTTCTCTCTGCGGATCTTGTTTCTTCTTAAAAGCTTAAGAGAGAGATCATCCTTTTTTTGTCACAGTCCGTAAGTAATTGTCTTAGTCTGTTATACTTCTACTTAGTGGTTGGTTGAATAATGTTTATTTTGTAGATGCTTCAACACAAAAGCCAAATTAGAAGTTTCAGACTGTAAGGATACAGGGTTCATTACCTTGTTTTTGTTACTCATGAACACATAGCGATCCACTGTTCCAAACTGATGCCCAACACATAGCACACACTGAAGTCCGTCTTCAGGTACATTGTCAAAATGTACAAATCGGTCGTAAATTTCATCAATATTTGCCTATATTTTGTTGGTTTTATTTTTTTGAGACAATGTGGGGGAGGAAAGGACAAGTATCAAATCATAAATCACTGATTAGCAGTAATTTATTACAGAGGCTAGGTGATGCTCTTTCCAAGAATAAGAAGGACTATATAGACGATAACAGGGGGTAGGGGTGGGGGATTAAACCCTGAGCCTCATGTGTGCTAAAGAAGCTCTTTATCATTGAACTGACCCTCCAGCCCAATAGTAAGATCTTAATTTTACATCTGAGCAATGAATAAAACAGTAAAATAAAATGGGACCTGTATTTCTACGTTTATAAAAAATTCTCAAATGGAACACCACCTTGCTGGTGGCTACTAACTATGCATTTCAGTGCATAAAAAAATTAGTAAATATCAAGACTTGAAACCTTCTCATTTTTACCAAGAACAACAACCTGATAAACTCAGTCAATTAAGTGTTAAAACTGCTAACACAGTTTTAATTCGTAAAAGAAAAATAAAACAATTTTTTCAATTAAATCAACAAAAGTATTTGAATATGAAACTCACCTTTGGATTACTTTCTTGAATCAAGGTTGTAAAGACAGCCTCCTAAAAAGCCAATCATTCAAAAGTAAAAGGTGAAAGATGTCTTATTTATATGCTAATATTTGGTCATGATTTGTTATGCAATGACTTATACAGATATGCATTATTCAGTATTTCATAAAATCAGGTAGGTAAAATTCTACTCCTTTAGAAATTTCCTCCCTTCTCCCTGAAGATGTTATTTAAGTCTAACCCATCTATATAACTTAATTCTTCATGCTCACTGTAGACAAAAAAAAAAAGTGTACTTATTTGTTACTATCATTAAAAAGACCAAAAGTGGCACAAGAAAAGAATAGCAAAATTGGCAAAAGAAACTTTAAAAGGTTTTGTATAAAGAAAAGTAACTTGGTCTTTATCTAATGGAACTATGGTTCTTAAACTTTTTCTTTAATACTACTGTCATGTATAATAATCCCCACTAATACTAGAAAGTTAGGGTGACTATCAGGAAAAGGCTTCTGTATTTTGCAAAAGTAAATTTGCATCTCCCCTGGCTTTTATGGGATAATAATACTGTATCCTTTTAGGTAATACAGACCCTAAAATGTTTCTGCATCAGCTGAATTTGAACAGATTCAAATTTCAAGTTAGTCTCATGACTTTGTGGTTAAAGTACCAGATGGAAACAAAACTGACGGTGGTATGAGGAGCTAGCTACTCTATTACTTGGGCTATTTTAAGAGATTAAACAATGACAAACACGGAGGAAACTTGATTATTTAAAACAGACAATCTTTACTGAGTGACCAAGTGTGACAAATTAGGAGGAAAAATTAAAGACAACTGTCAGTATTCTGTGACTGTTGGTTTTCAAATAGGATTCCCTCTCAAACCATGAGCTGAGTGGTCACTAAAAGAACAGAATATTTTGTGGTCTAAAAACAGTATGTGACCCCCAAAAAAAGAAACTAGCTAACAATCAATCAATCAATCAATCTGATCTTAAGGATTTAGTAAGAACAAGGAAAAATGGTGGTTTAAACCTATTATTTACCTCATCTTTTATGTCCATATCCTCAGGAGCCATACTTATAGAGAGCTGATTTCCATCCATGGATACTGGGAAGCTAGTGTAAAATTTTACCATAGAATCTGCAGATTTTTTGTTTATTTCTATATATGCCTTTAAAAATAAAAATTACAAAAATGAAAAATATTAATTCTTCCTGAAAAGACTTGACTCTTTAGAGACAAATGACTTAGTAAGAAAACCGAAGTCATAGAAACAACAAAATCCATAGGCTAAGACTAACATAACAGGAAGAATTAGGTGGATAGGCAATATTAAGAGAACCAAAATGCATTCTAAACCAACACTGAACATGTATTTTATTTATTTTTGACACAGGCTCTTATTCTGGACCCTACCTAGTTTTATTCCCACCTTAAGATGCCGGAATTACAATAAGACACTAAATTCAATGCAGAAAATGTCTTAATTTTTGCATCCACAAGAGTAATTAGCATTCGCAGACATTCTGTTTTGTTAATTTTTAAAAAGATTTAATAAGACATTAAATAAGAAATAAATAATTTCTTAAACTTAAATTACTTGTCATTGTTACTGGTGTAATGGTATTTCCAATTACTCTGTATGGGACATCCATGAGCCAATTATCCAGTGAGTCCACACCATCCATACTTTATGTCCATTAGTCAGTTAACATCAATTTGTTACCAACTGGTCAAATGCAGAACCTATGTTCAGGCAATTTTTATTTTATATTATGGCCACGAAGTAAAATAATAGTGATAATAGCAATCATAAGTGCAAAGGAAAAAAAAAGCCTTTACAGTTGCTTCCTGTAAGTGAAAAGGCAGAAGTGATCAGCATAACAGAGACATGGGGTGGGGGGGCGACACATGAGGCCTGTGTGAGTACTCAGTGGGTAAGGGCCAATCTGTGGGACTAACATTGGTGGAAGTAGAAAAATTACTCCTCCAAGTAGCCATCTGACTTGCATGTTCATACTGTAGCATGTGCAATTCATGTATGTGTGTATGTATATGTGTGTATATACATACAAATAAATAAATATAAATTAAAAAAGAAAAATAATCATATGCTGAGTTTTGTAAAAGAATTATGGCAAGAAACAATCACAAATCCTTGAGATTGTAAAGCTGAGGAAAGAAATTTGTGTCAACTTTGCATTAATACCTTAAACTACCAAAATTACAGTGTGTGTGTGATAGGAACACTTCATTATCAAGGAAGAGACAATAAAACTGTATATGCATGAAATGTGAAGAATACGGAATACCTAAGGTTCAGTACCAACTAATTTCAAATATCAACTAGGGCCATGAAAAGGCAATTCTCATGGGTAAGGGGAGACCACTATTAGCAGAGTCTGTATTTACCCATATAATTTTAGAAGTATTACATCTCCAAGAATTTAATAATTTTACTCAATACTAAACAAATCTGGGCATATAATCTTGATTTATTGACTTAGATTTTATACATATTAAAATCTGTGTTTATTACATGTCTTGGCATTACAATATGAACTCATCAATTTGAAATCTTTAAAAGCTCAAGTTTTCCAATTTCACTCTATTATCATACAAAACACTTTAAAGTTAAAGAATGCATAGTTTCTATTTTTATCTTCCTTTAAACTACAAATAATCTACATTTAAAAGTAAGTGTTATGGGGCTGGAGAGAAGGTTCAGTTCTTAAGAGTACAGGTTGCTGTTACAGAGGACCCAGGTTTGATTCCCAGCACCCATACAGTTCCAGAGGATCTGATGCATTCTTCTGACCTCCACAGGGACCAGTCACACATGTGGCAAACAGACATACATGCTGGCAAAACATTCATACACTAAAAATAAATATATAGAATTACACATACACACACAAAGAAAAGCAGTATTATCATACGCTGTGCACTGTCTCTTTTAAAGGTGTGTATAATTCAGTCTCTAGTCTATTTGGAGAGCTATATAACCATTATACTTGATTTGAAACTGCACATAATTCAACTTGTACTCTCCTTTGTTCAGCAAGCACACTCGCTGATGATCCTGCTCCATGTATCCCACTATTCTTAAAAATTGAGTGACTGTCAACTTGGCCATGTCATAAGACTTCCCACTCCCAAAGAGTACTTTTAGGTTACATTCCCCCCCTCCAAAAAAACTCCCCTCTTGTAAGGTTATTATAGCACCTCCCACAAGTTGTTTATTAACCAGAAATTCTGCTGAGCTGTTTTAAAAAACAATACTTAAAAAAAGATTTTATTTATCTATGTGTATGTATGCATACTTACATGAGTTTTTATATGCACCATATGCTTGCAGGAATCTATGTGGCCTAGCAAAGGATATTAGATTTTTTGGGAATAGACAGATAGAATAGAATGAATAGGACTGAACCTAAGTCCCTGCTCTGTAAGAACAGTAAGTAATCTTAACCACTGAGCCATCTCTCCAGACTTTTATTAGTAATTATTAATCTGTTATTTTGCCAATGATATTTAAGGGTCATTAACCATTTTCTAGACTCAAAATAATGTCAACAACCATACATACATAAAATAAAAATAAATCTTTTAAAAATTTAAATTACTATTTGTGTGTATGTGTGTTTTGCCTGCATGTGTATGTGTGTGACATGTGCTTTCAGTTTCCTTGGAGATCAGAAGATGGTATCAGATTCCCTAGGACTGTAGTTAAAGATGGTTGTAAGCTGTCTTGTGGGTTTGATATCCAATCAAACCTGGGTCCTCTTAAAGAGCAACCAGTATTCTTAATTGCTAAGTTATCACTCCAGACTCCCGAATAAATAAATCTTTCACACTTTCACACACACACACACACACACACTCTTAATTTGGACAATGCTGAAACAGAAGATATCCGTGCTTTTTCATTTTAAAAATCCTTTAGCTGGGCTAGGGATATAGCTTAGCAGTTAAGTACCTAGCTCTAAGTTCAATTCCCACAGGGACGGATGAGAGAGACAGACACTGGTTGGTTGGCTAAAATTATAAAGCCAGGTTGGGATAGAGGGACCATGAATTTGAGTTTGTAGTTAGCCCGAGTGAGACCTGCTTCAAAAACACAAAACAAAAATAATAACATATAATAAAGATTTAAAAAATCTCTTAGATTAACCAAGTTTAAAGATAGCCCCTTAAATCTTTGCTATTTTTTAAATTTCAATATTTTTACCAAAACGTGCTTATAAATAAGTTATCATAAATTCTTACCTTTTTATGAGACAATAAAATTAAAACATCCTTCAAACTACCAAATGGTTTTGCTAAGTTGTAAATTTCTTCTGTAGAATATCCTTTATTAGGCAAATTAGAAATAAAAACCACACTCATTTCCTCCATTTCCTTCAAAACAAATTAAGAAAGTGATTAGCATTTAATCTGTATTTACTACTTGAGAAAAACCAGATAAAACGGGAGACTCTAGAACCTCAAATTAAATGCCCTGTGTGGTGGTTTGAATGAGAAAGGCCCCATAGGCCTATACATTGGAATGTTTGATCCCCAGTTAGTAGAACTGTTTGAGAATGATTGATGGAGAAGGTATGATCTTGTTGGAAGGGTTCACCCCAGATCCAGTATCACTTTCTCTGCCTATGGTTAGGGCTGTGCCTGCCTGCAAACTGCCATTTTCCCCATCACGATAACCACAGACTAATCCTTTGAAACTGTAAGCTTGGCCCCAATTAAACACTTTCTTTTATAAGCTGACTTGGTCATAATGTCTCATTCATAGCAATGGAAGAGTAACTAAGCCACCCTTAGAATATACAAACTTACAATTTTAAATTAGTAGAATAATTACAGTCATACAACATCTATCATCTAATCCAGGTCTATCAGTCTTCTTTTGGTTGAGCATCTTAAAACTGACGTTCATATCTTTGACTACAACTCCTCCTTTCATATACCATTACTAAGCCTGTGCCTTGCAATGTGATTGCGTATATCTAACATCCAAAGCAATATGTCTTCTCATCTTCTTGAACAATAATTAATCTTATTTTTAATTTCACTACCTTAATCCTTATACCACAAGTAAGAACTTACCATAAGTAAGTACTTTTCTGCTTTATTTTGCCCCAATCAACTTATTCTCTAAACTTATTCTTTTATTGCTAGCCTTTTCTTTTGTAGATATTGGTAAAATTCAAAATGCCTCTATGATAATCTTGGCATATTTTGATTTTAGTGACAAAAAGAAAAGAAACTTGCTAAGAGTCAAGCTTTGAAAAACAAGTGACTAGCCCAACAGGTTTCCAGGGTGCACTGGTGGATGACTCTTGCTAAAGAGTTTTGTTGGAATGCTGTATTACACTGACCCTATACCAGTGTTTAAAATACCTTTCTTAAAGTAAAACATACTATTTAGTGATTTCTTAATGAGTGGATTATTAGACAAAAATGAATTTAGGCATAGCATGTGAGCAATCTGAAATTCTAACCAATAATCTAGATGAATGACATTTTAGCATACTATTAAATATGTAAGTAAATTTTATGTCCTTTACATAAATCAGAAGATCAACTTGTTTCTTCAAAAATGTAGCACAAACAAAAAAGCCTTGGTGATCAAAATATTTACATATCTTACTTTTCTCAAGGCTAGAAAAAAAATGCACAAATTTATTCAAAATTATGGATGTAGCTTGCTTGGTGGAATGCTTGCAAAGCATATTCAAAACCCTGGGTTTATCCCCAACAATGTGTAAACTGAGCTTGGTAAAATGCTCCAGTAATTCCCACACTAAACAAGTTGAAGCAGGGAAATTAAAGTTCAAGGACATTCCTTGTAAGATTCAAGTTCAGTCTGGGATACAAAGAAAGTCTGTCTCAACAAAAATCTTCCAGTGAAATAAATTCCCAATGTGCTTAGGTTCTAGTTCTTTCTTCTAGTTCCAAAAAGGTATTATCTACCCCAAATCCATTTTGCCTTACCATGCTCTCAGAGGAGAGCAATCTCATATATATACAGATTTATTCAAGTTTTTAAACCAACATCATATCTAAAGAGTTGAAAGTGGATAAGAATTTTTACCATGCTACAAAGTGAATACAGTTGTTTAAGAGAATTTTATATAAATAAAATACAAAAACTGACCTTGCTCATTGGTTCGTTTTCTGAGGTCTCCAAAGTATCTTAATACCAAAAAATAATGAAAACACAATTTTTAAAAGTTTATATGATCTTCAAGATTCTACTTTATTCCATAATAAATAAGAAACAGTATAGAAGTGACACCAGCCTTCTGCCCCTTTCTTGAAAATAGATTCTTTTCTCATACAATATATCCTGGTTACAGTTTCTGCTCCTTCTATGCCTTCTAGTTCCTCCTCACCTCACCTCCCATCCAGATCTACTCCCTTGCTGTCTCTATTAGAAAAGAACAGACTTCTAAGAGATAACAACAAAACATAACAAAATATAGCAAGATAAAACAAAAACATCACATTGAAGTTAAAACAAGGCAAATCAACAGAAGGAAAAGAGCCCAAGAAAAGGCACAAGATCCATTAGATCACACATTCAGGAGGCCCATAAAAACACTACACTGAAAGTCATAATATACACACAGAGTAAATGGTCCAGACCCATGCAGACTCTGTGCTTGCTACTTCAGTCTCTGTGAGTCCATATGAGCTTTGCTCAGTTGATTTAGAAAGCCTTGTTGTCCAGCTTTTAAAAATTACATTTCGGTTATTCTTCACGAGAGTAAAACTTGAGGATGATACAGAAACAGAACGTAAATCTGAATTGTCATATATTTAATTTTACCTGGGATTTGACCCTAGTATTAGAAAAATCAACACATATACAAACATATAATATAAGCACAAACACTTCTTTTCTTAAAAATACTTTCTTTCATCTTTAAATGTAAAACACAAAATACAATTTCTACTGGCCTACCTGAAGTAGTTTCTTCAGCACTCTTTCCAGCGGCTCTGTCTTTTGAACTAGTCTTGATTTCAGAGTTTGCTGCACAAAACAGACTACTTTAATTTTCTAAGAAAATACTAGTATAATCAAACTAATGAATCTGAACTAGAATTTAAACTAGTAATACCATTACTTCAGGTTCTCTCATGCTGACCAAAGTAAAACCATTCTTTGGAAAACAAAATATTCCCTGTTAGGCTATGTGGTTCTGTGTGTGCATGCATGCATGTAGGTACATGTGCACTTGTGTCATGTACATGGAAGCCAGAGATCAACATCTAGTGTTTACCTTCATTGTTATCAAACCTTATTTTTTTGAGATAGGGTCTCACTGATACTAGAGCTCATCCATTCAGCTAGGCTGGCTGACTAATGAGTTCCAGGATCTGCCTGTGTAGTCTGTCCCCTTATTACGCAACCCAGCACTGGGATTACAGGTGTCTGCTATGCCTGGCTTTTATGTGGGTCGAGTGGGAGGTAAATACAGATTTTCATGCTTGCATACCCAACAACTTTTTAACAACTGAGACATCTCCCAGGCCTCCCTTTGGAACTTTTAAAGAAAAATTTCAAAGTATATCTCAAATATAAATCAAGATGATCCAAAAAATAACCCCCTGAGTGAGAGCACGTTGTTACCTGGTATAGTCACGAGTTTATTGGAGTCTTTGTTTTTGATAATCCCAGACTTTTTAGCTTCTAGAGACTTCTTTCCAGATTTTGCTTTTAAAAGTAGAATTAAACCATTATTCTAAGATTAAGGGCCTACTTGTTTAGCATATTTTATATTAATATATCAGAAACCAATAACCTAATCTGAATAACAATTTATTACATGTATTATTTATTTTCAATTTTTTACAAGTAATATTAAAAGCAAATCTAAGTCGAGACATATTTTTGTGGCTTTAAATTAGTCCCAAGTTTATTTCTCATTTGAAATATAAAATTAAAAATATGTATTTTGAAATTTCTACTAAGGTTCCTTTGAATTAAACTATTAGAAAAGATACTGTTAATAGGGCCATGCTATTTTCAATGTACAACAGCTATGTTAAATAGCGTTTCATTTCTTTATCAGGGAAATTAATCTGTTTTAAAGTAACAAACATCAGATAAACTGTTTAAGTTGTGGAAAGGAGTATAAAAATGATAGTTATAACAAGAGAGAAGGAGGGAGGAAGGATTAAACCATTTAAAGGGGACAATGACAGAGCAACCTATGACTATATCACTGTCAGACCACGCAGGTACACTAATGTGTGTGTGTGTGTGTGTGTGTATACATATTGTATAGCCATAATATATTAATACAGAAATGTATCTTCAATGGCGAATATTGTTAAAAATGAAAGTACCAATGAATAAAAAAATCCTATATCGTAAATTTTAAATATTAATGACTCTACTAAATTCTTCAAGATGTTATCAGATACTAGAAATTATTGAATTCTAAACTTGCTTTCAATAATGTATTCCTTAAATTCATAAAAAAAAATTTAGTAAAGCCTCTCTCCCTCAGTTGTCTTACCTGTTTTGATAAAAGCTTTACCTTTTGCAGCTACCGTAACCACAGATTTTACAGAACCCGCTGATTTCCCTAAATCACAAAAGCTATAGTCAAAACTGTTTTACTTAAATAGGGTCAATCTCCAAATTACCTTATTAAAAACAATATAAGAGCAACATATTTTATTCAAAACATAAAATGCTACCATATTTTGGGACATCTAGCAATAATTTCTTTGTGGGAGGGGACTTAAGTTAAATGTCTCTCTATATGTATGAATCAACTAGAAGCTGAAATACAAAGTAAAAAGTTAAACCACACAGCAATACCATGTTCTCACTGGTTCCAAAAGCAACTATAGAGAACCTCTCAATGTATGATTCCCTGAATCACACTTAAATGAAACCCATTTAATCCATTTTATGACAGCTACATAAAGTCCTAGTTGATCATTAAAAAAAAAATCCCACTGCCATATGTGGGATAGGCTCCAAAATTGTCCAATAATATATCCAGGCTCTTGCTGGTTCATCTTGGTTGCCCACCATAACTAGATGATAAGATCCCATAGCCGAAGCCACCACTCATCTTCAAGAAATAAGAGAACTGAAGCTGGAACTGAGCTGGAGAGTTTGTCCTTCCTGGTTAGTTTTCCCAGTCTCAGAAGGTACTATGATTACTGCTTGCAGAGAAAAGGTAATAACAGTCTTAACCTGCTGAGAAACCTACAAACTGTAACATAATCTTGGAAGGCTAGATGTGCCTATGGGTGCAAGAAGAGCCATGTGTTCTCTCATTGAATTTGAGGCACTTTCCATGGGAGGAAATTCACACCTGGTACTGTAAACCAGGGCAGTAACTCAAGCCTGAGATGGTTTGGGGGCCTAAAGGAAAATTAAATATTGTGTGTCTAACATGGCCCAAACATTCTAAATATTAATATTTATACCATACACAAAGGCTACTCTCAGTCTTTAATCAGAAAAGTTAGTCTTTGCAAATGACAGTATCAAATGCAGAGATTCATGGCTATACTACGTGATGAGAATAAGCAATGGTTAAAATTTAATACTACTCCACTAAAGCGCTCTCCCCCTCCTTCTCCCCCCCCACTCTTACACACACATACAAACAAACTGTAGAAGAGGATATGCAAAGAATGTAAAAGCCAGAAGATGGGAAGAAGGACTGTAATATGACATCTTTAGCACATGAGATGGCCACTGTAAACACTATATCATAGCAGCTGAGATTATATCTATTAGGCCAGTCATTCATTAGTCATGAATCAGTGAGGGATTCAAAGGACCCTATCCTTCCTTGTTGAACTAATAAGTACTGGTGGATTTAATCATTATCACCAATTGTTTACCCACAGAAGCCCATCAAGGCTCCAAAGGACAGGACAAACTAAAACAAAAGAAAAAGACATAGATATAAGAAAGGCAGTGGTGATTAGTTAGTCAGTGGTGGTGCATGCCTTTGATCCCAGTACTCAGGAGGTAGAGGCAGGTGGATCTCTGAGAAATGGAATGTCCAGCTTCAGACAGCCAAGCATATGCATACTCCCTTCCCTTTAGTCATTAACAGTCATCTCTATTATACCTTTGAGATCTCACAGTGATCCTTGTAACTCATACATCCATACAAGAAGGCATAAAGTGCTTTCTTTAAAAACAAAAGAAAACGAACAAAAAAAAAATTAAGAGTATGAGACTGCTTCATAAAACTTTCTGTGCCTAATTTATAAACTAAACTTTATCATAGCCAGGTATGGCATACCCCTTTAATCCCAGCACTCAACATGCCAAAGGCAGGTAGATCTTGCATTTTGAGGTCAGCTTGGTCTTCTTAGGAATTGAAGCTATCCTGAGATACACAGTAAGACCCTGTCTCAAAATTTTAGCTGTATGTGTATAAGTATATATGAATATATAAATATATATGAATATATATGGTTCAGTATTATCTGTAATTTCAGACATTTACTGTATGCCTTGGAATGTATGAATGTATCCCTATCCATAATAGGTAACTATGACACCAATCCTTAGAATTTGGCACTTAACTAGTGAATTCTTATTAATTTATAAATTTGTTATTCTGAAATAAACTGATCCTTAGTAAGCCAGTTAAAAAATTTCTTATGGTAACTCTGCTATTATCACAGATAATTCATGTTACCACTTATATGAAGATGCTAGAAATTTAAGGAAAAATGCCTAAGGTTTATCCCCAGGAGTTAAGGGATGGCTAGCAGCTTAGTTCCCAGTCCAGCAACCACCATTTGTGACTCCCATAAACTTTAAATCAAACTCTTTGTTAAATAAATGAAATTTCAAAATTTCCTAAAAATGTATTATCATCTCAGAAGCCTCAGAATACTACATGAAAATTCCAAATCTGTCAATTACAATGGTATTTCCCTTTTTAACACAGAAAAGACGATTTAATATACTACTCTCTACCCTGAATATTCCTTCCCATAACCTGTATTTAACAGAAATTGGAGGGAAAGGAGAAGAGAGGAATAGTACCAGGGTAAAGTGAACAGAATCTTAACCGTTATTTAAACACCCACTACAGTGAGCCAGGCATGACGGTGCACAGCTGTAATGCTAGCACTCGGGAGGCTCAAGTAGGGGATCAGGACTCAAAGCCAGTCTTGACCATATGGCAAGTTCAGGGCCTGTGTGGAATACATGGGATGCTGTTTCGAACAAAGAAAACAAAACACTATAGCTTATAAAAACTATATGTGCATTTATTTGAACTAGTATATAAAAGAAAATAAGCCCTCAATGAAAGAGGAGGGAAATAGCTATGATATTCATTCTCAGAAATACTTCTTCAGTTAAATTATTATTTAATAGTAGAGTACTGTGCATTAAATCTCATTCTGAAAACTACTAAATGGCTATAATCTCAAAGATTAATACATATATTTAAGAATTCTTTATCACATGAAATACAAGCCAATTAAATCTTCAGCAATTTAGTTAATGACTATAATCCTAATAAAAATGTACTTCAGGATAGGCGTGTAGCTCAATAGCAGAGCACTAGCCTAGAACACACAAAGTTGTGCATTCAATCCCTGCATTACAAGAAACAAATAGGCAATATGAAAATAACATACCTGTAAATTTGTTCACTTTGAAGGTAGATGGCTTTATTCGTCCAGTTTTGGCTAGAATTATGAGAAAAATGTACTTCAATAACACATTACAAACAAAATTCAGATTTAGGTAAGATTAACCTTAATAATTTTCAAAGAGCATTGCAACCTCTAATCCCTTCTGTTCTGGGTGTTATTAGTTACAAATATTCTTAGATAAGTCAAAATGCACATTTAGTATTGGGTGGAGATGGGAGGTGGCTCAGTTGATAATGTATTTGCTTTGTAAACTTGATTATATCTGAGTTATATTCCAAAAGTATCATATGACTGACACTGCCGAAAGGAGGACAGCCTTCATTCTTGAGGATGAGACCTGAGGCCGTCAGATTTATATGCACATTCATATGTATACACACATGCATAAAAAACAAACTTCTAAACTTTTCTCCTTTCATTCATTAAATAAAATTTAATATTATCAAACTTTCCTTCAGAAAGACTATATAGTTTCATTATTATTGATTGAGAGTTGGGTGGCCTCTATTTTCATACTAACAAACTCATCAATCTATCCTGATAACAAAAGATGATTATCTTTTACTGTGAGAAAGAGCCTGATTCACTTTTTCTTTAATTTTGGAGAGATACATAAATTTTCACATTAAAAAGTCTCTTGTAAACCAGGTGTGGTGGCACACACCTTTAATCTCAGCAGTAGGCAGAGGCAAGAGGATCTACGTGAGTCTCAATCAGCCTAGTCTACATAGTGAGTTCCAGGACAGCCAAGGCTATGGAGAAAGATCCTGTCACCAAAAAAAAAACAAAAACAAAAACTAAAACAAATAAACACACCAAACCAAAAGAAATAATGACTGGGTCACCTGTATTAAAGGCTCACTAAATAATGTCTTCCTAATCTCATTTTACAAGAAGTTTAAAGTAAACTGACAAAACACATTCATTTGAATGTGTTTTTAAAGTTAACAACTTGGTCTAAGGAGTAGGGCTTAGTGTGTCAGCCTTATAAACATAAAGACCTGAGTTCAGGTCCCAGGGCCCATGTAAAGTTGGATGCAGTAAACATTCATCTGTATCCCTTCATGCATGAGGCAAGCTGGAAGAAAGAGAGGAGGCTCGTCGGTGGTGGGAGACAGAGGCTGGTGGATCTCTGGGAGTTTGCCTGTTCTAAAGAGTCAGTTCCGGGACAGGCTCCAAAGCTACACAGAGAAACTCTGTCTTGAAAAACCAAAATAAATAAATAAGTAAATAAATAAATAAAAGGAAGAAACAGACAGGAGAATGAATCCTCAGAAGTTCAAGGGTCAGCTAGTCTGGAACACACAAAGAGCAAGCAACAAGAGATCCTGCCTCAGAACAAGTGAAAAGCAAGGACACATGGACACACAGACACACACATACACACACACTTACTTTACCACTTACCAAAAGAAGCTGAAGTAAGAGTTTTAATGGTTTTTGAAGCATCTGTCTCTTTTCTATTCAAAAGAAAAAAAAAACATTAGAAACATTGAAATATAGTTCTAAGTTCTATAAATTTATAAAACTGGTTTGTGTTCAATTTTATAATTGTGGTGGTTAAAGATGTAGTCCTAAAAATTAAAATTTCTTAACATATATATATATATACATTAATTTTTCACATGAAAACAAAGATTCACTTACTTTAAAGCAGATGCAGATAACTTCTTAGAATCTGAAGGTTTCTTTTTCACTTCTTTATTCTAAGAAGGAAATATTATTTAGAAAAAATTAGCTTTTCCCCAACTAAAAAGGGCAGTTTACACAATATAAAGTTCAACAATGAAAATAAAAACATTTAAAAACTTGGAAGTTTAAATGCTCATTACCTTTTCCTACTTATATTTCATTTAATTTGTAATCATGTTATGGTCATTATGACAGTTTCGGAAGGGCTTTTGATTTTGTTCTCCCTTTCTATATACCCACATTCTTTCAACAACATAAATGAGAATGAACTTGCTGCTCCTACTCTTAAAGCTTTTAATCATATTCAGGGGGAAAAAAATTAAAATAGTCTCTCACTTTTTTATGTGGAATGCACTTCAAGAACTCTAGTAAATGAAACTATGCACAATATGAAACCATATACAGTTTTTCACTATACATACAGTTTAATGCATAAATTAGGAAGAGTAAAAGATTAATGGTGATAATACAACACAATATACTTACTGCATGTAGTCTCTTAAAACATCATACTGTTCTTTTCACTTCCGAAAATTGGCATATATATATATATATATATATATATATATATATATACACACACACATACACACACACACACACACACACACACACACACACCGGCAATATTTACACTCAGAATACTTGAATAAATTAAGAATTACTTGAATAAAAGTATCATGACCTCTTGGGACAATGGTGTATGCCTTTAATTCCAGCACTCAGGAGGCAGAGGTGCAGAGTCACAGAAGGGATAGGTAGGCCAATCTCAGTGAATTGGAGGCCAGCCTGTCAACACAGAAACTCACCAGAGCTACAAAATGAAATCCTATCTCAAAAGATACCAGAGGGTGCCATGCAAGCTTCCAAAAGGAGAGCAAAAAACAGTCCTACCCAGCAATGATGCCTATGAACTACAACAATGAACAGCCTGGCACAATAACCCCCAGGATGCAGTAGTAGCATGCGTATCTTGGCAGTAACCATCAGCTCTCTCTAATTGGACTTAAAACCCACTGAACAAGGTGGAAACCATGCCTAGTACTGAAAACCTAGCCAACAACTGTTAGTCAAGACCAATTTACTACACCCACATAATCCCTAAAAACAATCTAAACATTTGTCCTTATACCCATAGATAAGTGTAGCTATCACCCCTCAGAAAGGAAACTTTTTTGCAACGGATACAACCATTACAGAAAACCAGAAGCAAGCAAAATGCTGACTTGTGGAGACTAGTCTCAATGGATATATCTACAAAACATTACCTCAACGAAGACACAGGGAACATTTCAGAAGAGGAAATAGAAGGAAAAATTTAAGAATCAGAATAGGGAATTTGCTGTCAGATTATGTCTCCTAGTAATGTCAGAAGCTATACCCAAAGTCTCACCAACATGATTGCCTAAACATGGATGGATGACACCAACAGACATGCTCAAGTGAACAGGGGAAAGTTTATGAGGTCTCAACCCTAGACAAAGAACTTCAGGTAACTAAAGAATACTGAGAGTGGAAGAAACAGCCTTCTCCAGAAAAAGTACACCAATTGGTTATCCAATACAAATTGGTTAGTCCTGAAACATGTGAGTAACAGTATATAGGCTGAGCAGATCATATTTAGGAACACACACACACATACCGTATTATATATATGACATGTTATATACGTATATATTATATATTAAAATATATACACAATAACAGAGCAAAAAACAGACTATATTTTTGGCACTGGAACAAAGATGATCTTATAAAACATGACAAGTGAGAAAGTAAAATGTACAGAAGAAAATACATACAAATGTATTCAAATATATGTAAATTAAAAAAAGTTTTACATTTATTTCATTTGTTGTGTCTTTTGTGAGAGTATGCCTATTCCACAATACATGTGTAGAGATAACAGCATAACTTTTCTTTTCTTTTTTTTTTATTTAAATTTATTTATTTATTAAGGATTTCTGCCTCGTCCCTGCAACCGCTTCCCATTTCCCTCCCCCTCCCCCGATCAAGTCCCCCTCTCTCATCTGCTCGAAGAGCAATCAGGGTTCCCTGACCTGTGGGAAGCCCAAGGACTGCCCACCTCTATCTAGGTCTCGTAAGGTGAGCATTCAAACTGCCTAGGCTCCCACAAAGCCAGTACGTGCAGTAGGATCAAAAACCCACTGCAATTGTTCTTGAATTCTCAGTATTCCTCATTGTCTGCTATGTTCAGCTAGTCCGGATTTATCCCAGGCTTTTTCAGACCTAGGCCAGCTGGCCTTGGTGAGATCCCAATAGAACATCCCCATTGTCTTAGTGTGTGGGTGCACCCCTCGTGGTCCTGAGTTCCTTGCTCGTGCTCCGTCTCCTTCTGCTCCTGATTTGGACCTTGAGATTTCTGTCCGGTGCTCCCATGTGGGTCTCTGTCTCTGTCTCCTCAGGGTTTCTCTGTAGCTTTGGAGCCTGTCCTGGAACTCCCTTTGTAGACCAGGCTGGCCTTGAACTCACAGAGATCCGCCTGCCTCTGCCTCTGTGTGCTGGGAATAAAGGCGTGCACCACCACCACCAGGCTTTAATAGGATAACTTTTACAAGTTGCTTGTTTCTCTCCTTTCACCATGTGGGTTCCAGAAATTGAACTCAGGTCATCACGCTTGATGACAAGTGCCTTGCATCACTGAGCTATCTTACTGGCTCATTTCTAGGATACAGGAAATTTAGAAAGCCATACATATGCATGCAAGCAACATACTTAATACTTTCTAGATAGACTACAGAGTACTAAATTAACATTAGGATAATAAACACCTATAAAAAATTCTTGTCATCTGAAGATAAAAACACCAGAGAAAATTGCATGTGCTTTTAACAGCACCAGGGAAGCTGAAGCAGAGGGATAGAAATTTGGGGTCAACCTGGGCTATATAGTCATACTCCATTCTCCAGAAAAATCAATAAAAAATATCAATAGAAAATGGGAAAAGATATAGGAAATTCAAAAGGAGAGTTAACTAATAATGATTATTTTAAGAATACTATAGCATGTTTTACTTACTAGGTTTTTTTTAACTGAAGAGATTAAGATAGTGCTACAAGGATACCAGCTCTCATAAATCACAAGTGTGTAAATGACTGCATTTACACTCTACAGGCCATGCATTAATATCTATATCCTTCACCCAACAACTGTTCTGGAGTGTACAATCATAAATAGAAAAGGATGGTCTATAAAAGTCACAAGGAATTAACTAAAGTCTTGCTTTTGGAAATGAAAAAATAGGGGAATAATTCAAGTATCCACCCAAAAGAAACTAGCAGGATAATCATTATAATCACACAACACAACATAAAAGTCATAAAGAGTGAGGAAAGCCTCAGTTACTTTTAAAGTTAAATTACTAGCTACTGAGGAATATGGGCTTATAAATCTCTAGATGCATTCCATTGTAAATAAAAAGCTAAATCAGAAAATTAATATATATAACCAAAGAAAGCTTACTGGAAATTTCTAAATAATTCTATAGATATTATCTATGAACATTTACAGAATAAAAAATGATCTAGGGGGCTGGAGAGATGGCTCAGAGGTTAAGAGCACTAGCTGCTCTTCCAAAGGTCCTGAGTTCAATTCCCAGCAACCACATGGTGGTTCACAACCATCTATAATGAGATCTGGTGCCTCTTCTGGTGTATATATGTTAACAGAACATTGTATGCATAATAAATAAATAAATCTTAAAAAAAATGGTTTAGGAAAATTAAATTCATTTATATTTCTTTTTCAAACATTTATATTTATTTATTTCATGTATAAGAGTGTTCTATCTGCATGTACACCTTTATTCAAGAAGAGAGTATCAGATCCCACTACATATGGTTGTGTGACACCATGTGATTGCTAGAAATCAAACTCTTATTGACCAAGGAGCCATCTCTCCAGCCCCCCAGAACATTGATTTTATTAAAGAAACTAAAAGGCTGTAGAGAACAGAACAGATTATGTTGATGCAAAGTTCAAAATTATGGTTCCAGAAAAGGATTACCTGTAGGCAGAGGAGAAGGTTTAAGAATTGGAACAAGCCAGCTATAGGGACTTCTACAATGCTTTCAATATTATTTCTAGCAGTTCCAGGTTTGTTAAATTGGTACAATAGTACCTTAGTCTGTCACTCATCACTTAATATTATACTAGTTGTGGTGGTATATATGTATTGTTAATCTGAGAGACACACGCCTTTAATCCCAGCACTCAGGAATAGAGGCAGGTGGATCTATGTAAGTTTGAGGCCAATGTGGTCTACAAGAGCTAGTTCCAGGACAGCTAGGACTGTAACACAGAGAAACCCTGTCTCGAAAAACAAACAAACAAACAAAGTTCTAAATCTTTTGGACCAAGATTTATGTATTTTCTACACAGGTCCTATACATTTAAAATGTTAATGTAACAAAAACATTTAAATTTAATTTACCTGTGCTTTTTTCCTTCCTGGAACACATACTTTCACAATTTTTCCTTTTATTTCAAGAGGAATTGTTTCAGTGTGCCTCATGACTGCCGTAACTGCTTTTTTATACTCCATCTCCAAGTAAGCCTAAAATAAAATTTTTGACAATTGAAAAAAAAAAAAACCCTATGTTTAAAAGACTCATTTTATTTATATTCAAAAATGTTTGAGACAAGTTCTAATCCAGGCTGGTCTTGAATTTCTATGTATCTCAGACTGCCCTTCAAATTCTGACCCTTTTGTTTCAGCATCCCATATGCCACCTCACCTGGCTTATATCTCTGCATTTTAAAATGGACTTAATGCTTTTCTGTGAAACAAAACTATGAGGTTATCTCAAGAACTGGTGGCTTTTTTTGCTTGTTTTACTAACCTATAATTTGATGTTTCACACACAATACATATTTAATACATATTTCACACACAATACATATTTAACTTTATATAACTTCTAGACCATTACCAAGATAAAAGATGAGTCCATGGCAGGCTCCTAGAATAGGAAGAAAGGGGAAGGCATGTCTAACTGAACAACAGGAAGGTAGGCAAGATCTGGCTTAGCTTGCTTTAAGTTAGATTTAAAAACAGAACAACACCACCACCACCACACACACACACACACACACACACTTTTTTTCACTAAGGTTGGGAACTACCAAACAAATGCTAGCTATTTTTACTGAAGATTCATCTACACTGACCAAATAATCCAAAGTGATAAGAAATGAGGAATGGGGCTGGAGAGATGATGATTCAGCAGTTAAGAGCACTGGATGCTTTTCCAGAGGATCTAGGTTCAGATCCTGGTACTTGCTGCAGGTACCATACATATATGTGATGTGCAGACTACATGTATACAGACACCCATACACAGAAAGATATACTTTTAAAAACTTAAAGAAATGTGGAATAAATTATCGGCTTTTAGTTTCCATAGAAATCTCTAAGAAATATCCTGGGTCAGTGAAAGTTTTCTCTAGTGAAATAAGACTCAGTTTTGGTCTCTAGGTATCACATCTGACATGATCATCAGGATCTTTTCTTATGCTCTCCCTTCGCCTTCCTAATAAGTCTTTTTCCTATTTCATTTATTTGGTTTGTAGTCCATGGCATTTAATTAAGATTGCATGCATAAGCATAGGTAGAACATGTTGAGCTGAGGACCAAACCCAGAGCCTAGTAAACACTCTATAACTGAGCTAAATCCCCAGCCCCAAGCCCAAAACTTTTAAAGCCTCCTGCTTAAAAGCAATTACCATGTCTTCTCTTTGCCTCAACTCACAAGAATCTTTTAATCTAGGGTTGGTCTACAATTCACAAATTTTATTAGGAATACAGCACACATGTAAACAATACTAACTGTACAAAGGAAACCATTTATTTTATGTAACTTGTGTACCTAAAATCATGTTTATTTTTACAATTTTTAGAAACATAGCAATGCTTTCTCATTTACATAACCATACCTATCTTCTATATCTCAATGGAAAAATACCTAATACCCTATGACCAGCCTATAAAACTTCAAATAATTATCTGGCCCTTTATTGTATAAACATGTCTATTCCCTGGAACCTTGGTCTTTCTTGGGAGTCTTCTGTCAACACAAATACTGTGGAACATTTACGTTAACTGTCAGTGAACAATGATATACACAGCACAAGCAGCTAAGATACCAACATTATCACAAAAGCAACAAGTCTGCCTGGATTTTCACAAACGATAGATGACGCACCTCATTTCTACAAGGAACAAGAAGGATATCAGTGATGTTCCCAAATGGATGGAATGCTTTTCTAATATCTTCCTCAGTAAAGCCATCCTCTGGAAGTTCAGATACAAGAAGAATTGAATTGGAACTCAAAGACAGATCTTTCCGAGGCCGAATCTGGAATGAAAGAAAATGAAAAACAATGTAAGCCACAAGGTACGGTAATCATAACTCCACATATAATCTCTACTACTCATCTCAGTATCTTTATGGATATCTTATAGACATTATAGCTTTGTTCATACTACATTCCAGTAATTCAAAGGCTGGGCCCCATGCATGCCAGATATGATGGCACACACTTCTAATGTCAGCACTTGGAAGGATGAAAAGAGGATATCAAAGTTTAAGATCAACATGGGCATTATAGCAAGATACTGTCTTTTAAAATAAAAATGCAGGGCAAGCTGCTTGTCTGCACTGTCCCAAGACTGGGCCAGAGTGGCAGTATATGGGTATAAACTAGAGGACAAGGAGCTTGATTCTTTCTGAGGAAGATCAAAGCTCAGAAAGGTGAATAAGTCATCATCTGTAACTCATAATAAAAGTGTTTTTGTTCAATGTTTATTTAAAAGAAAATAAAGAAACAAGGCACATAATCAGAATCCATCTCAAAACAAAACCCAAAAAAAGCAAAAAGAAAAAGGTATATTATATATAATATATAGTATACAGAATCAGACTACATATACTGTAATACCAAATTTACCAAAAATCAACCAAAAATGAAAGACTTTTGAAAATTCGGGGTTTTGATCCTACCTAATGTGCTGGCTTTGTGGGAGCCTAGCCAGTTTGGATGTTCACCTTCCTAGATATGGACAGAGGGGGGAGGACCTAGGACTTACCACAGGGCAGGGAACCCGGACTGCTCTGTGGACTGGAGAGGGAGGGGGAAAGGAGTGGGGGGAGTGGGAGAAGGGTGGGAGGAGGGGGAGAAGGGTGGGAGGAGGGGGAGAAGGGTGGGAGGAGGGGGAGGGAAATGGGAGGCTGGGAGGAGGTGGAAACTTGTTTTTTGTTTATGTTTTTTTTTCTTCTTTTCTCAATAAAAAAAAAAAATTAAATTAAAAAAAAAAGAAGTCCTGACTCAAAATCTTACCAGATTAATTAAAAATTTTCCCTATACTCAATATTCTTTCCTAATGATCTCAAACTTTTGCAATTACATATTGATTGTTTTAAGGTTAACAATTAAAATATAACCTTTTAGAATAAAGAATACAATTGTTGAAGGTCTTCAATATATTTAAATAATTTCAAAAGTATATATTATAACACCATAAAAATATTAGGCTTATTAGAGTCATAATGACAGTTTAGATATAAATAAAATCTAAATTACTGTTAAATAAACAGTAATTCAATCAAATATACAGTAAAACAGCATCTCAATATAGTAACAAGTAGGTTATAAACAAAATACACCAGTAAACCAGGACGAAAAAAACTACACTACTACATAGAATGTATAAACAGAAATGATCAATTCTCACATTTCTAGCTGATAGAAATTATTAAGACTCATTAATAATTATAACACTGATTTCACCAGTCATTTAACTTCTGAAGCTAACAAAAAGCTTCATCAATACATCACAGCATATGTTTCTATTCTGAGACAGTGTCTGTAAAAAGCCTCCTGCCTTAGTATGCCTTGCTACACTAAAGGAGCATGCTACTCTACTACCCTGACTAGGACTTCTTTGGGCACTTTAAACACTAAACATCTGGTATTCCTAACTACATAAAACACTAACACTGACACTCCTAAACTACAAAACTGAATTATTAGGCTTTTATCAGTCATAAGAAAAAAATTATCTCTCATCAAAGTAATTTAACAAATATTTATTGAAATTTATTGGAAATGTGACTCCAAAGATCCAATTTTTTTTCTGCTTTTCATAGTAACAAATGCAGGTATACTTGCGCTAATCTACAAAAGAATTACTGACCTTTCGCTGGATAAAAGCACCTTTACCAGACACCTGTTTACCTTCTGGTAAGGTGTCATCTTCAAGAGTCCTATACTTATGAGCAGCATGTTCTAAATGTGAGTCACTCTCCATAGAACTTACAGATTTCACTGATGGCTTTGTTCCACTGGCAAGTTTAGGCTTTTGTGCTGGTAAGAATCCTTTATCAACTGCTTCTATGTTTTTCTGTTTATTAACTTCTGTTCCATGTACAGAACGTTGTCCCCCATCTTCTACTGCCTTTTTTCTATCTGATTAAAAAAAAATACATATATTCATATATATAAATTAAAAAGAAGCAAAAGGCATATAGCACTCTTATGACAACCCAGCCCTTTTGTCTCATCTTTTTAGATTTTATTTCCAAGAGGATGTCAATTATTTATTCAACCATTTATTAAATAAACATTTATCATCTAATGAAGGATGTTACAAGGCAATGTTCATAAAACTATACATGCGATCTAGTAAATGATTTTTAAAAAAAGAAACTTAACCATTTCAAGACACTACGAGTAACATGATTAAGATTACAGAGCCATTCTCAAGCTTAGTAGAGAACATACACTACATACACGCTGCACACGGGCACACATGCACCATTCTCAGTCTTCAACTGCTCATTCTTCAAGCTCTATATGCAGCAGTTCCTTTGTTCAGTGAGTTTTCCTTATGTCAACAGTCCTCAAAGTTTTGGATGTAGAATCTCTTGGCAAACTCAGGAAGCCAGAGTTTAATTTTGTTATATTCTTTTTATTTAATAGAATTTTAAAACTGCTAAATCATTTATTAATAAACTTGTATATTTATATATTTTATAAAAATTAACTACTTATCAAAAGGATAAATGAGTACTATTGTTCCACATTTTTCTAAACATGTAAACATGAACTTGAAAGACACATATCCCTGACTTTTTGTATCCATTATGTATGGTGGATGCACAACTTTGGTTCAAAGTACAAGGAAAGTCAACTACGACACAAGTGTGTTCTTGGAAGAGGAAAAGGACTCATACAACACTGAAAAGACCTTTGTGAGACCCTATGGGAGACTTAGGGTTTTGAACTATACTGAGATTAGCCAGCGTACACTTTTTAATTATTTCCATTTCCATTCAATTTCTTAAACTATAGAGTAGAACTGAAGACATGCTCAAAGTACTACTTTAACATGTACAATGGTTTCTTTCATTATAGGCTATGTGTATGTATATGTGTGTGTGTGTATGTATGTATTTTAACAAATGAGCTTTTAGAAAGGTCATTAAATGATTATTAAATAATCAAGAGACAATTATTCAAAATATAAGATTGGCCTCAAACTTACTATATGTAGCTGAGAATAACCTTGAAATCTTGATCTTCCATCTCCGTCTCCCAATTTGCTGGAATTACAGGTGTATGCCACCCAGTTTATCTTTGGTCCTTAGTTATTATTTTTTATTCATTTTTTTTGTTTTTGAGACAGGGTTTCTCTGTATAGCCCTGGCTGTTCTGGTATATGCTCTGAAGATCAGGCTGGCCTTGAACTCACAGAGATTCACCTGCGTCTGCCTCTCTAGTACTGGGATTAAAGGCGTGAACCACCAACACTCAGCTTGGTCCTTGATTTTTAAAATGGATGCGGATAAATTAAATTTTCCATACATCTTGTCAACTCTCAAATATGAGTCCAATTTCATAAAGCAACTTTAAAATTAAATAAAATACAACCATTCATTTCTAAAATCCCAATCAAAAGAATAGCATCAGGATCATTATTGTACCTGATCTTACTGATCTTCTTGATGTCCTTTCAGAGCTAACTGACCGGTAGGACTTTGGACTTCTTCTAACGAGATTTCGGCTTCGATATGGAGAACGGGATCTGGATCTGGATCTGTATTTAGAAACGAAACTATGGCAAATTCTTGGACTTCGACTCCTTGGTCTATATCTATAACGAGCTGGACTTCGAGATCGATGGTATCTGTGACTTGAGCTTGATCTCCTAGAATGCCTAGGACTGGGGGAATGAGAATGAGAACGTCTTCTTGGAGTTTCATTTTCTTTCCTATTGCTCTCATTTCTAGAAAGGAGAAAACAAACAAGACTCAGCAATTCAATGTAGATTTAAGCTATATTAAATAACAAAAGCAGCTTTTTAAACAAACATTTATTTTTATTAACTTATTATTTTTAAGTGTGTGAGAGTATACATTTATGTCCAGGTGCCCACCAGATCCTTTAGAGATGGAATTATATATTGTTATGAGCTACCCCACATGAGTGCTAGGAACTGAACTCAGGTCCTTGACAAGAGCAGTTAAATGTTTTAACCACTTAGCAATTTCCCCAGACCTTTCACTGTATTTTTGTTTGTTGGTTGGTTGGTTTGCTTTTCTTTTAGAGACAGGCTCTCAGTATGTAGACCATCCAGACTAATTCTAAACTTGTGGCAATTCTAGGTCTCGGTCTCCTAAATGCTAGCATTATAGGCGTGACCCACTATGCCTGGCTCAGAAGTAGTTTATTTAAAAGAAGCTACTGGGATAGCAAACCAGCTCACTGGGTAAAGATGCTTTTTGCAAGCAGACCTGACAACCTGAGTTTGATCCCCAGACACTTTAAGATTGCAGAAAACCAATTCTGGAAAGTTGTCCTCTGACATCCACAAGCACCATGGCACATGTCACACACATATGTGCATATGAACACACATACACACAAAATAAATGAAAAATGTATCTACCATTATGAGTAGAGAAAAAGTAATCTGAACAGATAGATGATTAACCTTCAGTTTGCTAGAACCCTCTTTTTTCTAGCTTACATTAGAGTATTTTTATCCTCTTCTTAGGTATCAGTTATTTTGCAACTATTTTAAGTTATATAAAGAATTTAGGAATTTGTGTTGTCCATAGAAGAAAGTACATTTAAGCTGAAATAAAAAGACTCATCAATTTTTTCATGTGCCAACTGTATAAAAATAAAAATAATAGCAGGGTGTGCTGGCATAAATCTTTAATCTTATCACTTGAGAGGCAAAGACAGGTGGATCTCTCTGAGTTCAAGACCAGCCAGTTCTATATAGAGTTCTAGGCTATCCAGGACTCTGTCTACAACAAAACCCAACATGATAAAATTAGGACAATTCCAAAACAACTTTAAAAAATTTACTGTTTATTTTTAAAAGGAAACAAAGTTGTAATAATTAATACTATTAAAAAATCATACCTTCGAGATGGGAGGATCTCAGGGTTCCAATCAGGGTATCTATTTGAAATAAAGACTATTAATGACAGTTCAAGCAATAATAATCTTTTAATCATTTAATTAATAAAATTAATCATCTAATTAATAAACAATTAATCTTTACCTGAACTGTGTCAGAACTGCTCAAATTTAAGCTTATATATAATTTAAAAAGTTGAATTATGGCCAGCTGGTAGCGACACACACTTCTAATCCCAGCACTCAGAAGGAAGAGGCAGGCAGATCTCTATAAATTCGAGGCTAGGCTAGACTTGTCTACAGAGTGAGTTCCTGGACAGTCAGGGCTACACAGAGAAACAATGGCCTTAAAAAAAAAAGTTTTCTTGATAATAACATTTTTATGTCTAATTCACCGTCTGATCAAGGTGCCACACTAGTAGATATATCAGAAAAACATTCACCAAGACTTCAATTTTTTTAAAGACCTCACTTTTAAAAGTCAAATAAATAGTATATACAAAAGCTTCTTAAGGTATAAAATATGAGTCTAGGTAGGGGTAGACAAAGAGGCAAAGAATAGAGGAGAGATGCTAGGCATGGTGATTCATGCCTGCTTTCCCAGCACTTGGGAGGCAGAAAAAGGATAAAGAAAGGCTCCAAAACTACAGCAAAACCCTATCTCGAAAAACCAAAAAAAAAGGGGCTGGAGAGATGGCTCAGAGGTTAAGAGCATTGCCTGCTCTTCTAAAGGTCCTGAGTTCAATTCCCAGCAAACACGTGGTGGCTCACAACCATCTGCAATGGGGTCTCGTGCCCTCTTCTGGCCTGCAGGCATACACACAGACAGAATATTGTATACATAATAAATAAATAAAAATATTTTAAAAAAAGAAAAACCAAAAAAAGAAGAGAAAGTTCAAGATCATCTTCATATATATCAGCATTTCTTCTTCCCTTTCTTTCTTTCCTTTTTATTTAAGATAGGTTTATAGCTTACATGGTTTCTCTTTGAAGCCTTGGTTGTCCTGTAACTAGCTCTATAGACCAGGCAGGCTGGCCTTAAACTCAGAGATCCACCTGTTTCTGCCTCCAGAGTGCTAGGATTAAAGGTAGGCACCAATTGCCCATACATTATTAGCATTTCTCATGTGGGTTGAGACCCCTTTGCAGATTGAACAACCCTTTCACTGGGGTCACATAACAGATATTTACATTGCAATTCATAACAGTAGTAAAATTACAGTTACAAAGAAGCAACGAAAATATTTTGTGGTTGGGGAATCACAACATGAAGAACTGTACTAAGGGCTGCAACATTAGGAGGTTGGGAATCACTAGTTTACATAAGACACTGGCTAAGAAGATAGCTCAATCTGTAAAGACCAGAGTTTGAACTACAAATTCATGTAAAAAGCTAGCATTATAAACTGTGTATTTTTAATATCAAAGTTGAGAACATAGAGATCTGCAGATACCTTGTGCTCATGAGCCAGGCAGCCTAACATAACTATGAGACCCAGGTCTTGGAGAGAGATACAGTCTCAAAAAAACAACAACAAACCGGGAAGGCTCGTAAGGATCAACATCCAACGTTGACCTGTGGCCAACATAAGCCTACACACACAAATGCACTCCTCCATTGCGTCCCTACTCCATACATACGGAGAAGACAGAGACAAGATCTCAAAATTTTGCAAAATTCTGGAAGAAGGCTAAAAAAGATGGCTTTTCAAAGTTAAGAAGGCATCCTGCTCTTGAAGAGAAGCATCCACATCAGGTGGCTCATAGCCACCTCCAAGTCTTTCAAGAGGACCTGATGTTTCTGGTCTAATAGGTACCTATACTCAAATGCACATACCCACATACAGACATATACATAATTTAAAAACAAAACTCCAAGCATTTTCACCCTTTCTGTTGGGACACATAGAATACAAATTGTATCATATGCTTTTAAGTTATATCCAACCGTATTTGGGAAAATATATGTAAGAAAGAAAAACTGAAAGAAAAGATTGCTTTTCTTCAAGTAGCCCTTTAAAAATGTATTGATGATCTTGGCACTGGAGAGGCAGAGGCAGACATTATCTCTGTGGGTTCAAGACAATCCTGGTTTATATAAGCAAGTCCCAGGCCAGCCGGGGCTACTTGGTGAGAACTTGTCTCAGAAAGAAAACGAAAATCTATTAACAGGCCTGGTCTTGGTTACAGCTAACATGGTAGAACAAAGAAAAACCAGGAAGCAAACCCTAACTGGTTCTACTCCAGGAAGTAGTTGTTGCAGCACAGAAGAAATGGAGGGCATAATAAAAAGGAAACAACCTAGAATGGTTTCTTTAGAACAGTGGTTCTCAACCTTCCTAATATTAAGACCCTTTAAAGTCTCCTCATGTTGTAGTGACTTCTAACCATAAAACTACTTTCATTGATACTTCACATGTGTAATTTTGCTGTTATGAGTTGCAATGTAAATATCTGTCTTTTCTGATGGTCTTATGTGACCCCTGTGAAAGGGTCATTCAAACTGGGTGGTGGTGGTGCAAGCCTTTAATCTCAGCACTTGGGAGGCAGAGGCAGGCGGATCTCTGTGAGTTTGAGGCCAGCCTGGTCTACAAGAGCTAGTTCCAGGACAGGCTTTAAAGCTACAGAGAAACTCTGTCTCAAAAAACTAAAAAAAAAGAAAGAAAGAAAGAAAGAAAGAAAGAAAGAAAGAAAGAGTCATTCAAGCTTGATTCAACCTCCAAAGAAATAAAGGAGTTGTGGCCCAAAGGTTGAGAATCAATGTACTAGAGAAAGAAACAAATCAGGAAGACCCCTGAAATCAGGTTATAAGTTTGCACAAAAATAACAAGTGGCTGGGTAGTGGTGGCACAAGCCCTTAAATCCAACAATTAAGAGGCAAAGATAGGTGGATCTCAGTGAGTACAAGGCCAGCCTGGTCTACAAATAAGTTTCAGAACAGCCAGGTTACACAGAGAACCCTGTCTCGAACTCCCCCCACCCCCCCAAAAAAAGCAATGGGAGTTACTCATGAACATTTATTTTTTTCAATTAAAAAATTACCGTATGAGTATGTGTGCAGCTGTGTATACCATTGTACACATATGGCCAGAACTTTGTTGAGTCCATTCTGTTTATACCTTTCTACCTTTACATGGCTGCCAGGGATTGAGTTCAGGTTATTTGGCTATCATGGCAAGCACCATTAAGCACCATTGCCAACAAACCAGCTAGCTAGCCTCCTCATGAACATTTCTAAAGCAAAGATAGTAAGGGAGTGTTTCAAGAATAGTTATAAATGAGTATCTGGAATTAAGGGGAAAGATAAAAACTGAGGTATTTAGAAATTAAACATAAAGAATTCATAGCTATACCCTTATGTGTGAAAGTAACACAGGGTATATGTATAAACAGGAAGGGGGGGTCTGAGAATAGATTCTTATGCTTGCTAATACTTAAACATAAAAAGAAAAAACAATGTAAAAATAAAAAAAAAATCAGGGATAAAACGAGGTAGCAGGAACAGGAGTATCAGAGAAGGTTAAGAAAGCCTGCATCTTCATCCTCAAATTTACCAATCTATAACCTAATTGGACATAGTGATTAAATTACTAACATTCAAGAATTCTATCTCAGAAAGACAAAAGGTACAAAATGGACTATCTGCTGCTCCCTGAGACACAGTGGCAGAGATCAGAGGGAACATATAGCTGTACTGGATGCCTGGTCAACAGAGTTACCTTCAAATTTGACAAAGTTGATATTGCTGCCATCAATGACCCTTTGTTGACCTCAACTAAACATTCTACATGTTCCAAAATGACTCTACCCACTTTCACAGCACAGTCAAGGCTGAGACTGGGAAAACTTGTCATCAATGGAAAGGCCATCTCCATCTTCTAGAATCAAAAGGGGTGATGCTAGTGTCAAGCTTGTTATTGCCACTATGGAGAAGGCCCACTTGTGGGGTAGAATCGAAAAGATGATGATCTCTGCCCCTTCAGCTGATGCCATGTTTGTGATAGACATGAACTGCAAGAAGTATGACAACTCATTCAAGACTGTCAACAATGCTGCTTGCCCCACCAAATGCTTAGATCCCTGGCCAAGGTCATTTACAACCATGCTGATATTATTGAAGGACTTGTGACCATAGTTTATGCCATCACTGTCACCCAGAAGACTACAGATGGCCCTTCTGGAAAGCTGTGGCAAGATGGCCAGAACAGTATCCCTTTATCCACTGGCATTGCCAAAGCTGTGGCAAAGTCATCCCAGAGCTGAATAAAAAGTTCACTGGCATGGTCTTTCATGTTCTTATCCCCAGTGGTCCCTGATGGATCTGACATGCCACCTAGAGATAACTGCTAGTACAATAACACAAAGATAGTAGAGCAGGCATTGAAGGGCCCACTAAAGAGCATCCTGGGCTATCCTAAGGACCAGGTTATCTTGTCTATCGCAACTTTAGCTGCAACACCCACTCTTTCACCTTTGATGCTGAGGGTGGCATTGCTTTTAACAACTTTGTCAAGCAAATTTCCTGGTATGACAATAAATGTGGCTATGGCAACAAAGTGGTAGACTTCATGGCCTACATGGCTTCCAGGGAGTAAGAAGCTCTGTGTGGTGGTTTGAATGAGAATAGGCCACATAGGCTCTTGTGTTTAAATATTTGGTCCCCAGTTAGTAGAATTGTGAGGGGAAAAGTAAGGGGTATGACCACTGGAGTAGAAGTGGCCTTGTTGGAGGAGGTATGACACTGGGAGTGGGCTTTGAAGTTTCAAGTACCCACACCAGGCCCAGTTTGTCTCTGTCTCTCTTCTCTCTCCCCTGTCCCATCCCCATCCCCTGCCTATGGATCAGGACGTAAAGCCCTCAGCTACTGTTCTACTGCCATGCCTATCTGCTTCCCACTGTGATGATCATAGACTAACTCTATAAAACTGTAAGCAAGTCCTCAATCAAATGCTTTCTTGGTCATGGTGTCTCTTCATAGCAACAGAACAATAACTAAGACAACCTGGACCAACTACCCCAACTAGAACATATGAGAAGAAGAAAGAGGGCCTCAGATGCTGAGGAATTCCTGTCCCAACTCAGCCTCAAACCTTGAGCAATCTATCCTCAGTTTCCATCCCAGATCCTCAAAACAAAAAACCAAATGATCAACAAATTATCTTTCAGAAAAGTAAATGAAGTCAAAACCTTTGAAAAAGGTAAAGTAGTTTTATTTGTTATTGTGTACTTCAAGTGTTGTTTATAAGGTAGTAAGCTGAAATCTGCATTCACATCTCCACAGAAAAATGGGCAAGATAATGGAAAGAATGATACCTGTCTTCAAACATTGTGGGAAAGGCAAACAAGCAAGGAAAATCAATTAAATTTGTTTGTAATTACCTATTGGGGATTAAGTTAGAAAAGAGACACAGATTAAGTTAATGGAAGATTACATGGCACTCTCCTTTTGGAATATTAAACATACTTCTCTAGGATTATTTTAAACAAGGAATAGCTTTTAAAAGTATTTTTAACAAATTATCACACAAAATATTTAATAGTTACATGTCATCATAGGCTATTTTCTTCTAACTGTTGCTTATAAAAAAAATGGAAGAAAATTTTCTTACTGTTGACGTAACTGCCGACAACTCTCAATATGGGTGGAAGTATTTTGATGCTGAATCCAGTCCTATTTTAAAAAAAGAAAAGGTTGAAATTAAAACAATCCTCATGCTCACTAATGAATTAAGTTTTTTTTTAATGACAACGGGTATTTGAAAATTTAACAAGCCTAATTATAATTTAGATTTAGGATTTAGAAACAACATAATTTTCACAAACAAAAATTAAAGTCCTCCAAACAAATGCATTTAACCCACACATGTTAACACTATTTAAAAGATATTTAAGTAGAAATTTTTAAAAATCATATCCATGAACATTCATTTTGAAATACATATGTATATTTAGACTTGAAGAAAAAGCTTAAATTCAAAAATAACATCTCAAATATAAAAGCAACATTTCAAAGAACACCAAAAATTCTATCAAGCAGTATCTCTGAGATGGTGCCTTCCAAAGACAGCAGCTTACTTCTCTAAAGGTCAAGCAAAAGACACTGATCATCAAAATAAGACTTCAAATGCTAATGGCATTCCAAACAAGGTGCTCACTATATTGGGGAAAAGATGAGTAAAATAGTGAAAACTACCACTGATCAAATCTAATTTATTTTCAAGATTTAATGGAAAGTAACACAGTTTCAAAGACATAGTATCCCTTACACATACAGCTTTACAATTAACAAAAAATACTTCCCTATACATTGTTTACAAATAAATGTCCTAAAATTACAATATGTAACAAGTACCTCCTGGAAGACATATTTGATTAAAAGAGGGTCAGAGAAGAAAGAACAAGTAATATAGCTTTTAACATAATAGTCTTCAAGGTGAAATGTGTCTATTGCTCAATGTTTTATTGTTCCTTCAGCATTTGGAAAGGAAAAAGAGAAAGAAAAAACCCAACCCTCACTAAATAGCTCTCTGAATTTTAAAACTTCTGAGAAAAACTTTTGTTTTCACTTCAAAAACATTTTAAACAAAAAGTTTAAACAATTTACAAAACAAAGTTTCTACAATTAAACTACAGCTGACATTAATCCTGAGTTCTACCTTGGCAGGAACTACTCAAAAGTCAAGTTACTTACTTCCAACACTGTGCATCTAAGTTTTGACAGACTAAAGGATTTCATTAAACTTCCTGGCTTAATTGTACACTGTAAAAACAAAATTTTGTCTGCATAGACTCCTTAGTGCTACAAATAAAAAGCTAAAAGAAACCATCAATCAAGAGTCTGTAGTAGTGTCCAATCCAATCCATGTCTTTGATATAAATTAGGTATTGTTTTTACCAGACACACCAGCAGGCAGAAAATTAGGCATAATTTATTTGCACCATAAAATGTTTTATTTGAATAAGTTGTCAACATTTATAAATCCAGATTGTACCCCCCAAATCTGATTTTCAGCTTTTCTTGAAACACATACAAAGAAATGATAATAATGGATATGCTTTTTTGCTATTAATACCTATATAAGCTGAAAGTGGTCAATGCCCTGCTTACTAAGGCACTTTATTTAATTCTACTCACCATGCACACTGTCTTCCAACAGGCATCCTTCTTGATACACTAAGTAAGCTCAGTAAAGGTATCTATGCAACCCCAAATCCTAGACTTCATATCATAATACCCAGATAGCTGCTCAAAAGGAGCACTGCCTCTATAGGAAAAATAATTACCTAAGAAGCAAAGAAACTCCAAAAACTATAGACTTGGGCTAGCTCTGAATCACTATGAAAACACCAACTCCTATCAAAGCTTGCCCTTTATCTTCTGACTAGCTTCAATAAAAAATATTTGTTGCCCAATGATTAGAGTTAAATACCTACCTGGACCCACAAGACAGAAGGAGAAAGCCTGACTCTCACAATATCCTGACTTCCACAAATTCACTGTGGACACGTGTACCAACACTCACAAACACACAAAATATATAAATGAGTAAATTGGGAACTGTCTTGAATCAAGTCAAAAGGACATAGGAAATCAAGGCAAATTTCTTAAAAACCTGAACGCCAGTTTGTGAGGAAACAGTCTATTACTGTATTCTTAAAAGTGCACCTCAGGCTATAGTTTGGAAGACTCAAATGCAGAAAGCAAAGATGCTGTAGGATTTACCTAGTAGGAAAAAAACCTGAAATCAGAAATCCACAAGTACTAGCTATATATTCCTATTATCACAAATATGCATATACACACAAGGTAATAAAATATTTCACAAAAAACAAGAGGCAACTTGTACATCTAAATTAACATTCACATGCCCATTAACATTCACATGCCCATCATTGTCCATCAAGCAATGATGAATTCTTTAATTAGATGAACCCCAATCTGTAACGCTGACTGTTAAGACTGGGAGCAGGGAAATTAAGCAAGTGCATACAATGCACATTGGGTGTTAACTCAGCAGCATAGAAGTCATCGCAAACTTGTGGAATGAGAGGACAAGCTTAGAGGTCAGTCATAGTCATCATCTTCTACAGGGTCTCTGCTGTTTTCACTGCCATATACAGGCTAGCTCCCAATAGGAGTGCTAGGATTGACACAGATGCTCGTGCCATTTGACTGACAGGTTTGACAGACTTTGATCCTGGGGACTTGAACTCAGCTCCTCACGTGTGTGGCAAATGCTTTCATTCACTCGGCCATCTTCATAGTCCAAAAGAAGTGCTTTTTAATGACTGCATGATTTTTCTCTGCTTTCAAAATTTTGTTTTATTTTATTTCCCCAGGGTTTTCCACCTTACACTTGAATAACTAGGGAAGCTTTCATTTAAATAGCCTACCCCATCTCCCATTTTCCTATTTATCTACACTTAAATCACTCTGAAACACTATCAATGTGTTGCTTCACATATCAAAAATTTAATTAGCTTCTCAAAGTCTTCCACCTCAAATCAGAATTGACAATTGCTTTTCAAGGCCTTGCATATTTATTTCTAGTATGTTCTTCAATGCCTCTTAGCATAAGGCCTTCTTTATGAACTTTTGTCTCTCTATGTGTTGCTGTTCCCATCTGGAATGCCATTTTTCTTCTTTAGAAAAAAATGTCTTCAAACTACTCCATAAAGAAAATAGTGCATCTGGTACAAGCCTTATCTAACTAGATGGAAAATGTTTTCTCAAACCAAAAGCAGATTTATGCTTTTCTTGTTCATCACAAATTGCTAGATACTTTATAGGCATTCTAATTGCTGGCCTGATCGCTACAAATCTGAAATCAACATAGAAACAGTATCTTCCCCTAATGTCATGAACAAATGGTTAAATATCACCAAACCACTCTCTCTTCCTGTCCCTCTTCTGAAGAGGTAACTACTGCCTCTCTCTCCCCTCACCCTCCTCTACTTCCCCCCTTCTTTCCTTTCTCCTTCCCTTTCCCATCCATAAGCCACTAAATAAACTCTATATACCGCTCCCCAAATCACCAAACCATTTGCTCCTTTTGGCTTTTCCACACAGGGTTTCTCAATGTAGCCATAGTTATCCTGGAATTCACTCTGTAGAACAGGCAGGCCTCAAACTCAGAGATCCACCTACCTCTGCCTTCCTAGTGCTGGCACTAAAGGTGTGTGCCACAACTGTGTGCTTGTTTCTAACTTTGAAAATATCCTTGGGTATCTTTTCTTGATGAGACTGCATAATCTGCTTTACAAAACAAATTTTATATAGTTCTTTATTTCTGCCCCCATCTACTATAGATACATACAAAGTTAAATCAGTATATACACAATGGATACTTTTTCTAAAATACAAAATAAAATCATCACAAGGTAAGATATATATTTTTCAATACATTATGACTGATTAAAAGTTCATAATAAATATGTGTTATTGGTATGTCCAGTTACAATAACAAAGAGCACCCAACACTCAAGTCTAGGGCTAGTTACAGATTACAAAGTGCTATGAAAGAACTATGATGAGAGTTTTCTGAGTGGCAAACAACTCTATCCGCTTTGGTGGAAAAAAGGAGCTACTACCATATTAAAATCCAGCACAGGGCTGGAGAGATGGCTCAGAGGTTAAGAGCATTGCCTGCTCTTCCAAAGGTCCTGAGTTCAATTCCCAGCAACCACATGGTGACTCACAACCATCTGTAATGAGGTCTGGTGCCTTCTTCTGGCCTGCAGGCATACACAGACATAATAAATAAGTAAATATTTAAAAAAACCAGCATATTTGTCTAAAATGGATAGATTGCTGCTTTTTTTTTTTTATTAAACCCTGGGCCTGGTATGTGCTCAACGTGTGCTCTACAACTGAACTACACTCCCAGCCCAGAATGATGCTTCCTTTTACTAGTGTTAACTTGAAGACAAGAGCATTCAATTCAGGTTTTCCCATTACTGACAGAAACCTGATAAATGCATACAAAGACAATAAAATGGTAATATTTGCAGGAGAGAAAAATAACAAGAGAACGAAAACCTACACATAAGTAAGCCTCTTCAAGCCACCCAGACAATTCAAGACTAAAGCTTTAAATTAAAGCTTCTTTTAAAGTGCATTCCCGTCTCACCATAATCTATATCTACAAATTGCATTAGTAAACAAAAGAACCAGTGATTCCTGTGCAGTTACAAGGGGTGGTGGTGGGGGGTGATTCCTGTTCAGATTTACCAGTGGTTACTATCAAACACCATATACTATATAATACTATTCTTCAGCACCTACGTAAAATTTTCCTTCTGCTTATACTAACCACAAAGGCACCTTAAGCATATATTTTGGACTTTCCTCTCTCAATTTCCTGCATTTTACTCTATTTTCTGAGCTCATGGCTGGCTCCATAATCATCACTACATCCTGAATAATTCTGTTATGAAGTTATTTTAAAAGTGCCTTCTCAAGAAACACTGAAAAACTTCTGGTCCATACAAAACTCAGAAACACTTAAAGCAACATTAATATCTTTATCTTAGAACAGATATATGCAAGACTAAAATATACTGTCCTTTGTAAGTGCACATTACAAATGAGTCATAATTTTAGTCTAATAAATCTTAAACATACTTTCTCATGTAGCACTGTTATGAGTATACAATTTATTATATAAAGTTGATGCTGCATCAATGGGATAACTGAAAGTTAAAAAAAAAACCGGCAAACTATATAGTATACTAAGTAACAGGAATACAGAAAGCCTAACATTCACTTCAATACTAAAGTTACTTACGATTACAAGTAGGTGCCAGGGTTGCAATCAAAATTAATTAGTCACTTACTTAATGCTTTGGTAACAGCAGCATATATAACAGAATTTAGAGAAAACCTGGGCGCTGAGCATCACTGTACAGCAATCTTTTAAAAACACTCACCTTCAAATGACTACATTCTACGTTACACAGAGAACACAAATGTGGAAATATTCTTGGAGATGCCGCATAATAATCATTCATCATAGAAGGGGTTGGCAGTCTCTTCATTTTCTGGGTACCAGCTTGTGTAAACTTTGGTAGCCACGAAGCTTTCACAATCCCAAATGGAGACCGAATGGGCAGGTCAGCTTCTGATTGGTAACTCTTTTTACTTCCTCTAGGTCCAACATGTGCATCATCTGAACTGATCACGGGCTTCTGTGGGATCCGCTCTTGCTGGTTTAAAGCTGAAATTAATTCAGAGGAAAAGGATGGCTGGTTCACAGATGGAGGAACAAGAGACTGACTCATTGTCTGGCTAACTGTTTGGCTAAGAGACTGGCTGACGGACTTTACAGGCTCAAGGACTGACTGTCCTGAAATGTGTAAGCCTGTCATTTTGGTTCCACTCTCAGCTGGGAAAAAGGACTGACTTGAGGACTCACCAGGGAAGTCCATCTGACGAAACACATCTTCCACAGGAAACACGGAATTACGTGTCACATTTGGAGAGGGAACAGTTGCAGAAATGTTCTCCTGCGACCGAAATTCATTCTTGACCTCATCAGTTGGAATTTCAGGATCATAAATACGTACTTCAAGTGGATCTTCTGTATAGCCATATTTGCTTGCATGCCCATAATCAATTACGTTACTTGAAACTGTTTCTTTACCAAGTGTTTCCTTATTTCTGCTGTGAGAAGGTAAATTAGGTAATCGGCGCCCCATTTTTCGCATTCTTATATCCCTCAATATTAATGGCATATTTTCAGGAGTTAGCTGTTCATCAGGATAGCGACTAAGTTCTTCTAGGTCTTCATTTGATAATCCAAAACTTGCTAAGATACTTGAGGCACTCTCCTTTGTATAGCGGCTCTGTACTTTAGGACTCTGCTCTGTAACCTGAGTTACAGAACTCTGTTTCACTTCCACTGGTGGAGTTATATGAGGCTCATCATCCCACCGACTACTATGAGGTTTCTCCTTCTTTTGTTGTGCTTCATGAAAATCCATTTTTTCTTTGGCTAATCTTGGATCAGTTCGGTGTTGAGTTACCTGAACATTCATTCTCTGTGGTCCCATGTTCTGATAAGATTCATGGCCAGGAAATCTGTGTGGAATTCCACGGGCTCTCCCTGCTGGGTAAAATCTTGGAAGACCCATAGATCCAGGCCTCATAAATGGTCCTGGAGGCCTCATCCCAGGAAGATTAGGTGCTCTCGGCCTTTGAAGTGGAAAGGTCCCTCGAGGATTAAACCTGGGTCTCGACATGGCTACTTTCGAGAATGTCTGATTTAATAAACTATAAGGTGTTGTTGAACCATGTGAGGCAACGACATTCAGCTGCTGAAGCGCCAACTGAGTCTTAATCTGAGCAAAGTGCAAAGGAGATGGGCCCAACAGAAGTGGGTTTGCAATGCCCAGGCTCAAGGGATTCACAAGTGGTGCGAAATTTTCCAAGAATAACACAAAGCTGAAAGTTAAAACACAAATATTAGATCATTTTAACTCAAACTACTTCATGAAGTGGGTTCTACAGCCAGAGTAAAACATTTTGAAATAAAGCCATGATACCATTTGGCACTGCATATACTTCACAAAGTTTTAAATTTTCCCCTAAAACTTTCTCTTCTTTTCTAAATCCAAAACACAAACCCCAAATCTCAAGCCAGAGTTCGTGTATATTGCTGTGCACGATGTGAGGTGCTGGGTGCTGTCCTAGGTGCTGAGATGTAATTCACAAGTCCTTTTACATAATCTTGAAAAAGACTGAGAATTTATTTTGTGGTTTTATACTGAAAAAAAAAAGATGATGACATTAAAATTCTTAGAAATGCACATAGACTCAGTATTGTGTTATCAAACATAAGAAAATTAAAAGAACTGTAACTTTAAGATTTTATTCAGACCCATTATTCAAAGACACATTCTTCCTTGGAATCAGTCTTCACATCTACTAAATTCCACATGGCAATTAAACTAAATACTTATATTCCTGATACTGAACAGTTGATTCTGGTAAAGTAAAAATTGTGTCACCAAGAATCTAATTACAAAAGTCTAACAAAGGAAGTGCAATGGCATGGAATTCCTTATAACATACAACATAACATGCAACAAAACCAGTCACCCTGATCTTTCCATTGTTGAGAATACAGACAAAATACACAGGTAACAATGTCTATAAAATGTTAGTTACTGATCTAAACATTTAACATGGATGTATTCATTTAGTTCTCACAACTCCCAGAGATACACACTGTTTTAAATTGAGAAATTAAGTAACACATAGACATATGATGCTGGGATTTGCATTCAAATCAAATTCAGACTTAATTTAGCTCCACAATCCTGCTTAAACCACTAACAGATGTATTAACACTATCCTACAGGTCTCAGACATTAAATTTGCTAAAAGTGGTTGGTTACTGACTACGTTCTCACATTGCTACACTACCCAGTCTAACCAACTTCAGGGAAAAGCAGTACACTTCAGCTATCATTCAGGACCAAGTCAGCAGCCAAAGTGGGTGACTTTCCTCATCCATATACCTAAAGATTTACTTACTTTTAAATATATTCATGTGTTAATTACATACATGTAAGTATGAGTGCCTAAGGAAGCTAGAGGCATCATATTCCCCTGAATTAATTACGGGTGTTTATGAGCTCTGTGCCACATGGGTGCTGGGAAAACCCGAATCATCTCTGCAGGCCCAATAGTTAGTTTTATAAGGTTAAAACTTGAGATTAAACTCAAGTCCTCATGCTTTATTTATGCTTGTTAGTAAGATGAAAATATATTTGGGTAAAACATTCCCTCTTTTCACATTCAATCATTTTGCATATTGCCAATTTTCCCCCTGGAGCTGAGACCTAATAAGTACTCTATCACTGAGCTAAATTGCCCAGCACTGCATTTCTTTAATTTTTATAAAGAAGAATTTTACATTATGCCTGTTCAAATACCTAAAAAGATCCCATCCTTTCAAATTTTGTATGTATAATGTCCAACAATCTAGGCAACTTCTCTCTACCACCTTTGTAATTTGGAAGGTATTTATTCCAGCTAGGCCTTTGCACCTTTGTCTTCTCATTAAAATAACCAACTTGCCCTGGATGGTGACTTATATGATTTTATACTTATTCTGCATGGTCAGCTTCCATCAAATTTTCCTTGACCACTAAGATCAGGTGAGTCTCAACATCTTAATTATTTCTTGAACCACTTTTGGTATCTCTAGCTTATGATTTGTGCTAATAAAATGCATGCCCTTCCCAACAATGCAGCACCAAGTGAAGTTATATGTTCACTGAAAGACTTTTCTCCCAAGTATATAAAACCCTATTCAGAAGAACCTCAAATTTTTGTTCAAGTATTTAAAAGATCACATTCAAAGTTGTCATTGTTAATGTACATAAACCAGTTTTTTATATGCATCAATCTATGCATGTGTTTGTGTGAATGAATGTAGGATGTCCTGCCACATCACATATGTGGAAGTCAAAGGACAATCTTGGTTGTTACAGGTCTTTGCTTTCTACCTTGTTTGAGACAGGGTCTCTACTGTTTACTGTTGCATATGTCAACATATTCAAGATATGTTGTAGGCCCAAGACTTTCTGAGGATACTACTGTCTCTACTTCCCATCTCCCTATAGTAATTCTGAAATTACAGAAGCTGGATACCACACCCAACTTTCCATGAGTTCTGGAGACCTGAACTCAGATCTTCATGCTTGTGTAGGAAGTGTTTTTCCCACTGAGGTATCTCCCTGGCCCCTCAGATTTCAAGTTAGAATGAAACACAAAAATAAAAATTGCCCAGGCTATAAATTCACCACAGTAAATTCAAAACCACTATTTTAAAAATGCTATTTGTAACAAACTCCAGAAATCACAGATCATTAAATTAGTTTACCTTTGTCATTAGTTTACAACTTTGTGCTCCTTAAAAAATAAGAACTGCTCGGTAAGCAGTTTTCAATTAGTTATTCTTTTAAATTTTTCAAGGGTGGTATGTGTGAATATGTTCACATGTACATGGAGGTTGTCTTCAGTCATTCTCCATCTGATTCATCTTCTTTGAGGCAGGGACTCACTGGGTAGCTCTGGTTGGCCTCAAACTTACAGAGACCTGCCTGCCTCACAACAGGCAGACCTTTTTCAAGAAAGTCTCTCTCATTGGACCTGGAACTCACTATTTTGGCTTTGCCAGTGAGCCATAGGGATTCTCCTGTTTCTTTCTCCCTAGTTCTGTATTTTATAAAAGTATACTTCTGTACCTGAGTGCTGTGGATCAAACTCAGGTTCTCATGTTTTTTCTACAAGCACTTTCTTGACAGAGCCATCTCCCCAGCCCCTATTCTGACTCTTTATACATCATCTTCTCCAGTTGATGAAGACTGCTTTTACACAGAGAGAAGCACTAATTTTTTCAAATACTGTTTCCTCTCCCAAGTAAAACACAAATGGTACAGATTTATCAGCCATCTAATTACTATATGTAACTATGAACACTTTTAAGTTGAAAAGAAGTATACTTGAATTTTTTAAAAAGCAAAACCCTATGTATTCTTCAAAGTACCTAGCATCTTGGCCTTGTGGTGATATAAATGATACATTTATAGAGTACAGATACCAGTTGTTTTACAAACTGTATTCTTCGAGACCTCTTAAGCATAACAAGTGCCCTTAATCAATAAGCCATTTCTCCAGCCAACAAAGTATTATTTTGAAATTATTCTAGGGTTGAACATCCAGGGCCTCAACCATACTAGCTAAGAGCTGCCACTGTATCCCCAGCCTATTTGATGTTTTTGACTGACATTTTACTCTCAATTTAATACTTTTCATAGCAGAATATTAAATGGCAAAATCATTTGAATTGTTTTCCCTGATGAATGGCAATCTTAAAATTGCTTTCAATGTCCTTTAAAAACAGAAACAATCTGAAACAAAACTTCAGTATAATCAATCACTATAATCAATTATAAAAAAAATCCTTTTAGCAAATAATAACAATGTCAGTAAGAAAACTCAATGGTTAAGGCACTTGTTGCCAAGCCTCAATTGAAGTTCAATCCCTGGAATCTACAGGGTAGAAGGAGAGATCAATTCCTGAATGTTATCCTCTGACCACCACACAGAGCTTGTGGCACACCCACCCACAAACATATACACAAAATAAATAGGTACATTTAAAAAAGAAGAAATCAATAGCAGAAATGGGTTTCTTGGCACAAGTATGAAGAAATGGTTACACAGATTAAAAAGACACTACCATTAGATCCCATGAAGTAGAGAAAATAAAGCTGGCTTCTGGCCTCCACCTGTATAATCTGACACGTGTCCACACATATACATATTAATATTAACTTTTTACAATCTTACACTTGAGATTTTATAGAGTTTCATGTTTTCAATGTTGTTTAATAGTCATCCCACCTGAAATAAACAAAATCCCTGAAAGCAAATAGTTCCTACAACACACCATTTTACAGATTAAGCCTTAGAACAGAGCTAAGAAGTAACCATATTTCAACAAAACCCACATTGCCCCCTGGCTTTTCTTTTCATGCTGAATCCCAGATAATAAATTTATTTTATAGCTTTTTTCCTAATTATTAAAAAAAATGTTCTTTACCTTTTATCAAAAGCAAGGAAAAAGAAAAAAATAGCCCATAAACACCCAAAGAAAAGTTTTCTATAAACTCATCACAAAAGGAAAATATTATTTTAACTTTCTTTTTCTAGGTCTATTACCTCTATCTTACTTTATGCTGTTCTGTTAGAACACAACTACAAAATATATCAATTCACTTTGGCACTTACGAACACAGCTACGGCAACAGTCACTTAATACAGCAGTCCAATTGTTTGTTTAATCATAAAAATAACATGCATCTGTGCTTTCTTTCACCTGTTGACCTCTTCTAACATACAGACAGATCCATTCAGCCAATTCTTTAATGTCATTAATTCTGCTGTGTTTCTCAAAAGAGGCACAGTCACAGTTTAAGTGTTACATGTTTGGCTTAGATTAAGTATCATGTTAGATGCGAAACTGGCAAAATGTATCATTTTTAAGGAAATGGTCAAGGAAACAATCAAAAGCACTACCTGGCATCATTAAAAGCAGCACTGACTTTCCTGCTACTTGAAAAGATGGATGAAAATAATGGCTTCAGGTCTAAATTTTAAAACCAAAGATGAGGGCTGGAGAGACGACTCAGCAGTTAAGAGCACTTGCTGTTCACCATGTTCTTCCTAAGGACCCAGGTATGATTCCCAGCACCCATGTGAGGCAGCTCACAAACATCTATAACTCTACCTTCAGAGGATCTGATGGCTTTTTCTGGCCTTTTCAGGCACCTGCACACACATGACATACAGACACACACATACACATAAATAGATCCTTAAAAGATTTTAAAACAAAGACCAGCTGGTACCATGCAATGCTAGGGACA